AGTAACAACAAGTCTCACAATGGAGACGTTACTGGTGCCCGCTCGAGCATATCAATGAACAACGGGAGGACAGTGCTACAGTGCTAAGAACTTTATAAGTGGTGATTTTTTTTTAGAAGAGAACATATGATTTTATTTGCTATTTGGTTATTTTGTGGAAGAAAGAGTTGGGTTTGAGCCACTCCTGGCGGTACTCGAGGCTCATTCCCGGTGGCATTTGGAGGCTATGTGTGGTGCTGGGGATCGAACCAGACTCGGCTGTGTATAAGGAAGCCCCTCAACTCCTGTTTTATCTCTAAGGCCCTTATAGTGAAAACGCTTATGTTTATATCTGGACTTCGCCAAGTTGGTTTTTGTAGATGGTGGAGATAGAGAGTTCAATTCTATTGTTTTGTATGTGGATATCAAATTGCCTCAGCACCTTTTGCTAAACAGTCCATTTATTTTCCTGTTGAGTTGCCTTGGCATCCTTTTCAAAAATTAACTAAATATAAGTGTAAGTTATTACCCATTCTCCACTCTCCACTCTCAATTCTAGTGCATTCATCTGTCCTCCTGTATGCCAGCTCTACAGTCTTACCCTAACCACTTGAACTTTCTAGAAAAATCTTAAAATTAAATAGTGTAAGGGGCTGGAGAGATAGCACAGCGGGTAGGGCGTTTGCCTTGCACGCGGCCGACCCAAGTTTGATTCCCAGCACATATGGTCCCCTGAGCACTACCAGGAGTAATTACTGAGTGCAAGAGCCAGGAGTAACCCCTGTTCATCACCAGGTGTGACCTGAAAAGCAAAAAAAAAAAAAAAAAATTAAATAGTGTAAGCCTCCCAACTTGGTTCATCTTTTTTAAAAAATTATTTTGGCTTTTCTACTGACTTTGTTTTTCATATACCTTTAAGATTCATTTTGTTAATTCTAAAAATATTTCGATGTGGGTTTTTATTGTAAGTGTGTCACATTTGTAGATCAGTTTGGGAAAGAACTACCCTCTGAAGAAATTTGAGATTTCCAATATAAAGTTGGTGTCTCTCTCCATTTATTTGGAACTTTTATATTTTTCTTGCACTGGTCTTTCAGTGCTTTTAATAAATGGGTCTTGTATGTGTTATATTATGTTTAGACTCCTGGCGGTACTCGAGGCTCATTCCCGGTGGCATTTTGGTGATATTTTAATGGGACTTTAAGAAATTTCCGCTTCTGGGGCTGGAGACACAGTTCAAGAGCCTGTATCTCATGGCATGCTTCGCACATAGGAGGCCTGGGTTCAGTCCTTGCCCCTGGTCCCTGAGCACTGCGAAGCGATCCTTAGCTCAGAGCCAAGAGGAGCCCATAAAACCAGCCACTGTGCCCCTCTGGTGTCCCCAGGAAGTTTTCACTTTTGATTGCTCGGTGCTCTTGTATGAATAGAGTTGATTTTTGCATTTTGATTTTGTATCTTTTGCTCTTCATATTTATTAACTTGCATAATAATTCTGGTCATTTTGTAGTTGCTTGGTATTTGTTATTCTGTGTCTTTTATTTATTTCTTCATTGTATTTCTTCTTTTATTTAAGTCTTCTTTATGGGGCTGTCTGTGATGCTGAATGTGTCTGGTGAGAGAGAACAGTGCTACTTCGTTCCATCTGCCGCTGATCAGATTGAGACTTCCCTCTCCATTCTAATATTTTAGGAAATTTTTAATAATTAAGATGTCATTGACATATTAACTAGTTTTAGGTGTTTAACAAACACTCAATATTTGTATGGCTTGTGACATATTTGCCACACAATTAGTCTAGTTAATATCTGTTCCTATATTAATAAAAATATGATGGAATTCTGCTTATTACCTGCTGAAACAAAAACTTGTAAATAGTTACATTTTTCTTTCTTATGATGAACATTTTAAAGCTTATTAAGCAATCTACTTTTGGCTTTTGGGCCACACCTGGCTCTGTGCTTAGGGGTCACTGCTGGTGGTGCTCCAGGGACTGTATGTGGGTCAGAACTGGGTCAGTCGCATGCCAGATCAAAGCCTTACCCAATGTCCCATCTCCCTGGAAACTCTAATCACTTAATCACTTAACTTCCCGTTAATCATCGATTTGCTCGAGCGGGCACCAGTAACGTCTCCATTTGTCCCTGTCGTGTGCTAGTGTAGCCCAATGGCATCTGTTCGCTCCGGGAACATGAAGGGACTCAAACCGATTGTTCATGATCTTGACGAAGAAGTCTGACCATCTGGTAGATGGACGGCCACGCGGTCTTTTGACATCCCGTGGAATCCAGTCGGTAACAGCTCTAGTCCAGCGGTCGTCTTTAAATCTCATTATGTGACCAGCCCATCTGATTTTCGACACCTTGGCATATGAGACAGCGTCCCTGATTCTTGATCGTGGACGGATGTCGGAACTCCGGATTCTTTCTCTCATTTGAGTGAAACGTGATATTCCAAGCATAGCTCTTTCAGAGACCCGAATAGCGTTCTCATCCTGTTTGTGTAGGGCCCAGGTCTCTGAGGCATATGTTAATGCAGGAAGAACAGTGGAATCAAAGAGATGTGCCCGGAGCCGGAGGTTCTTCGTCCTCTTAGCTATTTCTTTGATGTTCTTGAAGGCGTTCCAAGCCGCTCTCTTCCTCCTGCGCAGCTCGGGTGCCAGGTCATTTGTCATGTTGACCTCTCGACCTAGGTACACATAGCTGTTGCATTCGGAGATGGTCATTCCGTTGAGAGCGAATGGGGCGTCAGGAACGAGGCTGTTTCTCATAAACATTGTCTTCGTAAGATTCAGCTGTAGTCCTACCTTTCCACACTCACGGTCAAAGTCGGCCAGCATTTGTGCCGCTTGGCTGATGTTTGGTGTTATTAAAACAATGTCATCAGCAAAGCGGAGGTGGTGTAGTTGCCGACCATCTATCTTCACTCCCATTTCTTCCCATTCCAGTCGTCACATGATGTTCTCGAGGGTGGCACTGAAGAATTTCGGTGAAATGGTATCACCCTGCCAAACCCCTCTCTTGACATCAACGATCACTTCTTTGTAGAATGGTGAGATCCTGGTAGTGAATCCGCAATAGAGCTCACGGAGGATCCTGATGTATTGGGCTTGAATGCCCTGATTGGCTAGGGCTTCAATGACCGCTTCCGTCTCAACAGAATCAAAGGCCTTCTTTAAATCAATGAACGTTAAACAGAGCGGCATCTTGAACTCCCGAGAAACCTCAATGAGCTTGGTTATCGTGTGGATATGGTCGATGGTGCTGAATCCTTTGCGGAACCCTGCTTGCTCGCATGGTTGTCCTTCATCTAGTGTTCTGCCAATCCTATATAGGATGACTCGAGTGAACAACTTGTAGATGACAGACAATAGGCAGATCGGGCGATAGTTGCCAATGTCATGGATGTCTCCCTTCTTGAACAGTAGTACGGTCCTGCTGGTTTTCCATTGGGACGGAACCTTGCATTCAGACAGGTAGCGAGTGAAGAGCCGAGCCAGCGTATTGATGAGTACTGACGGCAGGTTCTTCAGGTGTTCAGGTCTGACCTTGTCTGGGCCGGGTGCTGTTTGTTTCTTTACCGACGAAATGGCGTGTCGGATTTCGGAAGGGAGAACGTTGGGAACGACATATCTAAAACTCTAAAGAAACTTTAAAATATGTAGTACTGTGTCATTATTGATGACTGTCATATTATTTGTTATACCCCAGTGACTGACAGCTTGAAAGTCTGAACCTTTTTAACGATCTTCACCTACTGCCACTTTCGCCTCTGACAACCACTAATATATTGTCTGTGTTCATGGTTTGATTTTAGGACTTTGTATTTGGGGTTGGGGAGGGGGGCGGGCGGAACGCACTCCAGTGCTTGGGGCCTGCACCTTTCTCCGTGCTCATGAGTGATCCCTGGGAGTGCTCTGTGAACCTTTCGCAGTGGCTGGTATTTGAAATTGGGTTGGCTGCATGCAAGGCAGATAACTCAACCCTTGTACTGTCTCTCTGTCCTTTTTGAGTTAGATTTTGAATCTTGTGTAGAAGGTGAATTTCCCAGTAAATATTGAGGTAGTCATAGGGTTTTCCCACAATCCATGACGTGAATTGTGTTTTGAGGTTGAACCTGCCTCCCTGGGAGCAGCACTCCCCCCACCCCTTGGCCACAGTGACTGTGTGGACACTATCCAGCCTGCGCTGGGGCCTCCCTCCCCGCCTCCCTGGCTCACTCCTGTGGAAGGTTGGTCTGTCTGAGGCGCCTGGATGGAGTCAGGGTCTCCTGCCGCCTCACACCTACCCTGAGCCCCGTCCCTGCCTCTCTCCTGACTTGTCACCCTTCACTGTCCTCTCTCCTACCTGAGTCCCTGACTGGAACATTCCTCAGTGTTTCTTTCTCTTTCTTTCCCTATGATGCCTTTTGGTTTCGGGACCCCTCCTCATGCCCCCACGGCAGACACCCAAATCCGCAGAAGGCCCCCCGCCCGCTGTGCTCACCCCACGGTGGGTCTGGGATGTGGAGCCTGAGGTGGGGCAGACCCTCACTCGGCGCACGTGCCAGGCTCCAGTGGCTTGATCCAGAGGGGTTGATGCAGTGGATGAGTGATTGAGTCATTCATTCGTGTCGCCCCGAGGTGGAGGATAAGCTGGGGTTTCTCTGCCAAGGACAGGCTCTGCAGACACAGGCCTAGGACTGTCCTGCAGGGATACCCACCACTGTCCAGGGTGCCCTGTGCCCTGTCCCTTCACGACGTGCAGCCCTGACGCTGCCCTCTTACCCAAGCCCGACCTCCGTCCGGGCATCTGGGACTCGCGTGGCAGTCAGCGACTTGGGGTCCTTAGGGCCCGATTCGCCTCAGGCTTTGAGGCCCCGGGAGCTGCCTGGCCTCCTCCAGTGGGCACTGCAGAGGCTGGGGGTCCTGAGCATGTCTGTGGGCTGGGGGCTGGGGACTGGGGGCCCTGGGCTCTGGGGCCGGGCGGGTCAGGGCTTGCCCGAGTCTGCCTCCGGCCTAAGCTCCATTCTGCTTCCCCCTGCAGCTCGTCTCCAATGTGCTCATCTTCTCCTGCACCAACATCGTGGGCGTCTGCACCCACTACCCGGCAGAGGTGTCTCAGCGACAGGCCTTCCAGGAGACCCGAGAGTGCATCCAGGCACGACTGCACTCGCAGCGGGAGAACCAGCAGCAGGTCGGTGCCTGCACGGAGGAGGCCCAGCCTGGGGGACCCGCCCCTCAGGGGTCTGCCCCGGCCCGGGAGTGCCGGCGGGAAGGGTCCCCACACTGAGCCCACGGTCTGTGCTGAGCTCTGAAAGACAAGCCCGTTCCCCCTGCAGGCCGTGGCTGGTGGGACGCCCCCGGGGAGGGGACCCTGGCATGCACGGAAGAAAGGCAGTTCACTGCAACGCAGAGAGGTCGGGGACGCTGGTGACCATGCTGGGTCCTTCTCCAGGGCTATACTGGGTGGGCCTGGAGCAGCTCTGGGCAACGGCACAAAGCTGCTGCCGGAAGCTTCGCACACTCCAGGGTACGTGGAGGAGGCAGAGACTTCACCCCAGGGGTGCCTGGGAGAGGGGAGTCGGAGCACGGCAGCCTGGAGCCTGCCTGGGTGTGGGCAGGTCCCGGAAGCCCCAGGAAGCACGGCAGGGTCGAGTGGAACCAGGCAGGGCAGTTTGCTCACTGGACGATTGATTGTCCATCTGTTCCCCCCTAAGTGGGGCCCAGGGTCCACTCCCCAGCCCGTCTGCATTTGGGCCGGCAGTGAGGGGCGCACAGGGTTCCCCACCCTCACAGAGCTGCGAGGGTCAAACCCAGAATTCTGCTCTCCTGGGCCAGGCCGTGCTGTGGTCAGCCACCCAGGGCTCTATTCTGGCACCGTCTGAGCGATACTGGGCGTCTCCAGAGGCCCCCGAGCACCCTGGGGTCCCCCAGCCTACAGGGCCCTGGGCAGCTTCCTGTCCTTGGACCCTCACACTGACCGAGAATCAGCAGTGTGGCCCCAGACCCCCTAACAGGCTCGAGAGCACCCCTCCCTCTAACGCAGGCCTGGCCGGGGCATGTTCCCCGGCGCTCAGGGGCAGCCTGCAGACAGACCGGATGTGAGCCGCCGGGCTGGTGGGGCGGGCAGGGTCTGAGGAGCTGGGCCTGTGCAGCAGAGGCAGGCTGGAGGGGAGGCAGAGAGGCCCGGGACCAAGGCGCACAGGGCAGAGGAGGAGGGTGGGTTGGATGGGTGTATCTTAGAGAGGGAGAGAGCTTGGCCTGTGGGTGCCCAACACTCTACTCCTGGTACTCCTCTGAGCACCACTGGCTGTGCCTCCCCTGAGAGACCCTCCCCCAACAGGGAGGGCCCACACCCGAACACAGCCGCGGGCACCCAGGGGGATCCGGAGGTCTAGGGGTGGGAAGTGGTGACATGGGGACAGTGGGAGTGTGAGGAGTTGGGGTCCCCAGGAGGACGGGGAGAGATGGGCGGCCAGGCAGTGAGGCCGGAGCCGTGTGCAGGAGCGCGTGTGTGGGGCTTAGCAGGGGGTCAGCCCGAAGGACGAGTCCAGGAGCTGGTCCACCCCACAGGACTAGGGGTGAGAGGTGACCGAAGGGCTGGGTCCAGGCTGTGCAGGGAGGGGCTTGTCAGTCCCGGCAGGCACGACAGTGCAGGGCCTGGAGCCGAGGGAGGGGCAGGGAGAGTCAGGGCAGTTCTGAAAGGTACAGGGGGTTTCCCAGGATGGGCATCCTGGGGATGTGATGGGGAGAGGGGAGGATCTCTGGGCTGTGGCAGCAGAGACAGGGAGGGGTCACGGTGCCAGTGTGGTTCCCGGAGGCAGAGGTGGCTTCATATGGGCCAGGAGTCGGGTCTGGGCAAGAATCAGAAGTCACTGGAGGGGCCGGAGTGACAGGACAGCAAGACGGTGTTTGCCTTGCATTTGGTTGACCAGAGTTCTACCCCCATCCTCCCAGATGGTCCCCTGAGCCTGCCAAGAGTATCCCTGAGCACAGAGCCAGGGCTTATCCCTGAGCATCGCCAGGGGTGGCCCAAACCCCAAAATTAAAAGAGACAAGCGAGAAGTCCCAAGAGCAGGATCCCAGTGGGCTGTGTGGTAGAAGTGGAGACTGAGGGGCGGATGGAGGGTTTGGGGGCCAGGGGAGCCGGGCAGGGCAGTGGGCATGGCAGGGAGCTGGAGTTGGCACACAGGCCCGGGGAGACGCAGACCCCGTGATGGGCTGGCATGATTCCCACCCACACACACCAGGACGCTTCCCACTGTCCTCCCACTCTGGGCAGTTGGCCTTTGCCTCTGCCTCAGCCCCTCTATGGAGGGGGTCTTCTGGGAGCCCCTCCCTGTTGCCCGCCCTCCTCTCAGCCTTGGCCAGGCCCCCAATCGGCCCTCGGACCCGCTTTGAGGAGGGAGAGTTTAGTTTGGTTTCGGGTGCTCACAGGTCCCCCTGCAGTGCCTAGGACACGCTGAGGCCTCACACGTGGGTGAGGACAGACGAGGTGAGCGACATTAGTGCTTCCACGCCCGCCTCGGGCAAAAGGAGCCTGTCACTCAGGGAGGGCAGCTGCTTCCTCAGGTTCAGGGCCCACAGCCTCGGGAGGCCTCCGGGGACCACAAAGGAGCTCGTTCCCGTAAGCGCACCAGGAGTGCAGCCAAGGGTGTCCGGGGGACTGGGAGTCAGCATGTGACGTGCGCACATACATACATGCACATTGTCATGCACAAATGCACATCTAACATATGCACAAACACATTTCCATACACACACACACGCACGTGCACACACACATGCACACACATGTATGCTCACACACATGTGCACACACATACATTCACGCACATATATGCACACAATCGCATGCATGCACACACATGTACACACGTGTGCACATGCATGCACACAATCACACATGCACACACGTATGCACACATGCATGTGCACACATGACACACACATACATGCCCATATGCACACACACTCTTGCACACACGCGCACACGCACTCATGTACACACATGCGCGCGCGCGCCCACACACACACACACACACACACACACACACACACACGGGCATCCGCTCTGCGAGGTTCAGGGCCCAAGGAGGGGATCCCGGGCTGAGGGGACGACTGGTGCCGTGACAGGCCTCTGCTTCCCCCCAGGAGCGGCTGCTGCTGTCCGTCCTGCCCCGCCATGTTGCCATGGAGATGAAGGCAGACATCAACGCCAAGCAGGAGGATATGATGTTCCACAAGATCTACATCCAGAAGCACGACAATGTGAGGTAGGGCTGGCTGGGGGCGGGCGCAGACCCCAGAGAGAGTGTGCCCCCTGTTCGGACCTCCTGCTGGGCACTGCGTGGGAATGGGAAGGGCGGCTGGGGAGCGTCAGCCCCTCAGGACCTGTGCATGCAGTCATGTTCGGGGGGGGAGGGGGAGGCTGCCGGGAAGGAAGCAGAAGGGGGACGGGCGGGGAGGACAGCAGCCGGACAAGGGACATGTGATTGGTTTGGTTTGGTTTAGGGCTTGAGTTTTTTTTTTTGGCTTGTTTTTTGTTTGGGGCCATACCCAGCAACGCTCCCGGGTCTGTGCTCAGGGGGTTGAACCAGGATGGCGCCTGCCCTCTGTCCTGTCTCCAGCCCCATGAGGGGGACCAGAGCAGCGACTCGCTGTTCCCACCTCCCGCGCCAGGGCAGGTCCAGCTCGGGACTCTCCTTGGCGCGCCTTCCTAAGAGGCTTGTTCAGGGGGCCTGGAGAGCATGGCCTGAGGTCACTGCGCCCAGAGGGGGCAGTGGGCACATCCAGAAAGGCCAGCCCAACCCCGCATGCGGCTCCCTGACGCAGGGACAGCACACAGATGGAGATTAATAGAGTGTAAAATCTGCCTCTGAGCCCCTGGGGCCAGAGGGCCAGGCGCGGTCCCCCGGAGGCTGCTGTCCTCTGCATGCCTGCGGGGAGCCTGGTCTCCTTGGCTGCTCTCCCTGGATGAGTTTTTCAGAACCCACAAAGCCTCCAAGGTCAGTGGAGGGAGAGCCTTTTGGAGTCTCAGGCTGATTTGTAAAGGGAGGAAAGGGAATATCATGCACACACACATATACACACATGCACATGCATACAATGCATGGACACACATGCACATACACATGCAAACATGTATGTGCATGCTGGCACATACACACATGCATAAATGTATTCATGTACACAAACATGCCAATGTGCACACACACACACACACACACACACACACACACACACACACACACACACCAGGTGAGTTTCATACAGATCAGGCCCTACTGCCCAGTTCCCTGGGACCTAGACTCTCAGACAACAGCCACAAGGCCCCATCTGTCTCCTGCAACAGAAGCTGAGTCTTTGGAGGAAAACAAATCAGCATACAACATGTGTCCTGCCTCTCAGGGTGCCCCCTTCCCTCTCAAGCCTGCCGTGCTCCCCGTGTCCAACAGGGAGGGTGTGGAGAGAGCAGCCTGTCTGGCGGGAGGAAGAGAGTGAGGCCAGCACCCTGGCCATGTCCCCTCCCCAGGCCTCCAGAATCGCCTGCATGCTCAGCTGAGACCCGGTAGAGAGAGCAGGGGGCCTGGATAACGGTGAGAGCAGAGGGTCTGGGTAGGGGTGAGAGCTGGGAGTCTGGGTGGGGGTGAGGGCAGGGGGTCTGGGTAGCGGTATGGGCAGGGGGCCCGGGTAGGGGCGAGGGCCCGGGTAGGAGTCTGGGTCGGGTGTGCTGATGTGTTGCGTCCCTCCCTCCTCTTGCCTGTCTGTGCCCCTGCTGGGATAGTCCTGACAGTAGTGATTCCTACTGTGTGCCCGGGATGCTTACAAGGCTGCTCAGACTTTGCATGTGGGAGTCCGGGCGGCATCCCCAGCACCGCCTGGTCCCCAGAGTGACCATCTCCCCAGGGCTGCTACGTGCCTGGCTCTTCTCTGTGTGATGCCGTCTGGGCAGTCCTGTCTGTCCTGTGACTCCCGCAGTGACCGCCGCAGTCGCCTCTGCTCTCACTGGGCTTTCCCGGAGAGGCGAGCTGGAGGGCCCGTGGTGGGTATGCAGAGAGGGACTTGACCCCGCGGCTCGCTGTGGTCAGATGGGACTGGCCCGAGGGATGGTTTGCTCTCAGCCTGCTGGTGTGAGTGACCAGGGAACCACCGGGCCTTTGCTGGTGACGGCAGCTTTAGCCCAGGCACAGAAGACGCCTTCCGGGGCCCGGGGTGGTGTGTGCTGGCCCAGCGCCCGCGAGCGTCTGTCTCGGGGTCCTTCCTGGAGCCTCCAGAGTGCAGCTCCTGCTGCCCTAGTCCTCGGCCAGACACGCCACCCCACCCCCAACTAACACGTCTGATGTGCCCCACTAATACAGCCAGGAAGTGTGACCCTGGCAGGCACGTGTATGCACCCAGGGGCCCCACAGCACCACAACCTGACCGTGGCAAGCACTGGGTGAAGAGAGCCCGTGGCCGAAGTGGGTCCTAGCATGGCCACCAGGAAGGGCAGGGGGAAGCTGAGAGAGAGAGCCCCCTACTCCCCCTTAGCTCAGGGGCCAGAGGCCCACCCAGTGGCTGGAGAGCCCAGAGCTGCCTCCTCGCCCCGTCGGGCCAGCTCCAGGCAGAGCCCAGACCAGAGCCTGTGGCACTTTGCTGAAATGGAAAGCAGAGCGGAGAGAAGGAGATGCAGGAGGCTTAGGGACAGCCCAGAGTCAGGGCTGTGCCCCCCACCCACGGGGTCTTGAGCAGAAGGACCCCCACAGAGCCACCGTGTGATTCCCCCCACTCCGCACCTTCGCCCAGGGGCTGCGTTTGCGACCCCCCTGGCAGTTTCCCCCGGAGTGGAGATGAGCGGATTAGCTGTCCTGTCTGCAAAACTGACTCGGCCTGAGCCCGCTAACCCCCCCCCCCCCCCAAAGTCACAGGAAGCGTCGGAGGCGGCCTGGCCGTCAGGGGGTCGGCAGGGACGGCCTGGGAACACTGCTGGTGCCTCCGAAGGTGACGCGTCCCAGTTGTCAGAGATTGCTCCGAGGAGAGTGCCCCCGGATAGGAAACCGGGTGTGACAGATCGCCCCCGGAACGAGAAGGGAAGACCGGGGAGGGGAGCTGGACCTGGTGGGCAGGTGGCAGGCTGGCTGCCCGGCCTCTGTGGGCTCCTCCCGGGAGGGTGCTGGCCAGCCCTGGCACGAGACGCCTCCGCGCCGGCTGCAGCAGGCCGGGTCCCTCCTGGCTGCGGGCGGTCACGGCTGGGAGCTCAGCCCTGGAATGGGGCAAATGCACCGAGGCTGCAGGCCAGGCCTGCCTGACTGCGGTGTCCCCGCCCCCCCGCCCCAGAGCGCCTGGCCCTCCTGGGGCAGGGGGCAGGGACGGTGCTGCCCCCTGTCCTGGCTTTTAATTTGGGCCACAGCCAGCGGAGCTCAGGGGTACTCCTGGCTCTGTACTCGGGTCACTCCTGCCGGGCTGGGAATGCGGAGGATGGAAGCCCAGCCCGTCGTGGGCCGGGGGATGCCCTCCCCGCTGTGCCATGACTTGGGCCCTGTCCTGGGACCAAAGGCAGCTGCCACAGCCCCCAGGGTGCAGGTCCAGGCCATAGGCCCCTTGAGCAAAGCGGGAGGCTGAGACCCTGAGTGTCCCGGAGGGAGCCCCACAGGCCCCCGCCCCAGGGCGCCCATTTCTCCCTCGGGAACCAAAGGTTCTGGGGGCAGCCCCACCAAGCAGGGTCTCACAGCTGTGCTGGGGAGCGCACATCCCCGTGGGCTGCCCTCCTGGACAGGGGACGTCCGGAGCGGGCCAGCGCACTGGCCGGGCGCAGCTGTTCTCTCTGGGCCCAGGAGACCTGCGGCTTGGCCCGGGAGGTCCAGCTGGGCCAGGCAGAGTCTGGGGGACACTGCCTGGCTGCAGGCTCGGCCCCGACCACCACACCCCTGATCTCCTGAGAAGCGCTGTCTCCTGCCTTCTCCAAGGACTTGGCCGCTTTCCACCGTCACTCCGGCGTCTGGCTCAGCCGCCGCGTGGTTCTGAATGATAATGACCGTGGGTGACTTTCGGAGGTGTTCGGGTGCTAGCATGTGGCTTGCACCCATAGCCCAGACTTCAGGGGGACCTGCCCCTGAACCCCGCAGCCCACTGGCCCCGGGAGATGGCTCCCCAAACCCCCACCTCTGCCATCTCTGACCTGACGCTGAGGGCCAGGGCTGGACGTGGCAGGAGGGCCCTTGCCTCACCCACGTGGAGCCAGGGGTCTGTCTCTGGCCAGTCACCCTGGCACCCCCGGCCACGGGGCTGGGTGTGGCGCCCCCTAAGGGAAGGCAGGGGAGTCCTGCGCTCTGCCCGCCAAGCCACAGACCTCAGAGGGCTCTGTGTCTGCCTGCTCTCCCCGAAGACCCGTCATGGAGAGCTGCTCCGGGCAGCCATCCTGGCCCTGACCCGGGCATTCGTGGTCAGAAGGGAACTGACAACGCGAGTTGCCTTTCAGTTGACTAATTCATGCGTTTAGTTGTAGTAAAATATACATAGCATAAAATGGACCATCTGTACCGTTTCTTTTGAATTGGTGGTGAGGGGGTGGCATTTGAGATGCACTTGGCAGTGCTCAGGGATGACTCCTGGCTCTGTGCTCAGGGCTTACTCCCGGCTCTGTGCTCTGTGCTCCTGACTCTATGCTTAGGACTCGCTCCCAGCTCTGTGCTCAGGGCTTACTCCTGGCTCTGTGCTCAGGGCTCGCTCCTGGCTCTGTGCTCAGGACTCACTCCTGTGGTGTCGGGGATGGAGTCAAGGCTGGCCATGTGCCAGGCAAGCATCTAACTGCTGTGCTATTCTCTGGTCCCTCCTGAACCATTTGTTTAACCTCCGGTCATGGGGCATTAAGAACATCCCTGTGTCCCACCAGACCTTCTTCCGTCTTGCAGAACCAAAACTCTCCATCAAGCACACAAACTCCTGCCCGGCCCACTGTCCCCTCTCCATCTCTCTGAACTGGAGGGATCTGGGGGCTCATATGAGGGGCTCTATGGTATCCCTCTTTCCCTCTCCCGTGCCAGGAATGTAACCGGGCCTTCACACAGCCGAGGCCAGTGCTTGGTCGCCAAGCCCTGAGCTAGCCGGTTTTAACCCTTTGTGACCTCTTCCCCTTCCCATCACACCTCAGGGGTCGTCCATGCTGTGACTTGGGGCGCATGGCCCTTCCGCACCCACTGCTCACCTGCCCATCACCTTGTTCATCATGTGCTGGCCCAGGGCTGTGCCTCCCCTTCTGGCTGTTGGGAAGGGACTTGCTGGGCTCGAGTGAGGGAAAACTTCCCGGAGCCTGGCGCTCCTCTCCACTCTTCGTGGGGCTTCCCGGAAGTTAGGTTACTGTCCGTTTGGGAGCCCTGGGATGCCCACTCAGCCCTCCTGCCTTCTCCTCTCCTCTGGTCGCCTCTATGGGGCCTGTGACTTTGCTGGCCTGGGATGGGGGGTGAGGAAGGAGGCCTGGCCAAAGAGCAGAGTGTTCCGGGTTGCTGAATGGGCTTGTGAGGGGGTCACAGACACCCAGAACTCTGGGTCAGAGATCCAGGGAGACAGGAAGGGACCAGAGCCAGGGTCCGGGGTGTGCGGACTGCGGTCAGGGCTGGGCTGCAGGGTGGATGCAGGCGATGGCCATGCTGGAGGGGACCTGTCGGCCAGGCGCTAACACTTCCCCTCTCCCGAGCAGTGCCCACAGGACCCTGGATGTGAAGCTTGTCACACAGGCCTTCCACGCAGACTAGCAGGTGGCAAACCACACACTCATTCCTGAACGAGCCCGAGGGCCGAGCCCAGCCCTGGGCTGCAGCTGTGACCTGGGTTTAATCCCTGAGCACGGCCAGGGGTCACTCCTGAGCGCAGAGCCAGGAGTAGCTGCTGACACCACCTGGTGTGCCCCCAAACAAGAACAAATTTAAAAATTAAAATAGAGACAGAGAAGAGAGCTCAGAGAGCTGAGTTGGCTTGTGCTTTGCAGGTTGGGGGGTTGGGGTGGCCGGCTTGATTGCTGGCACTGACGTGTGGGACCCCCGTATTTCACAGATCCTCACACTTGACCTCCTCTGGGTCTGCGACCCCTAGTTTAAGAGGTGAGGGTTACTTGTGTGGTCGGTGCCAGCCAAATGCATGTTAGAATCACCAGGGAAGCTGGGCACAGAACAAAACCCAGCCCTGTATCACCTGAGCCCTGCGCCAGGCCCTTTAGGTGAGACCCTGGGCTCTGGGAGGTGGGGACCCCTCCGGGTGAGCACCCTGGTGAGCCTAGTGGCCCCTGGGGTGGTGGTCCCGGCACCGCCAGGAAAGCCCTGTGGAGAATGTGCTCCCCACAGCCCAGCAGACCCCTTGCATGTCCCTACCCGGGCCTTTATTCCTGGCGACCCCCAGGACTTGACGTTCACTGTCAGGTCTGGGAGTTCTTCCCCGTGGGCATCTCCCCAGCCAAGCCCAGCTTCTGCTGGACCTCAGAGCTTTGCCCCGGCCACCATGGTGCCAGTCTTGGGGGACAGCCCGGCCCATGTGCTGAGACTCCCGCGCGACCCCACCCCCACCTCCCTTGGCTGTGGTTTCCTGAGTGAATCTGTCTGGAACGACGGTTCCCAGGGGCCTCTGCAGAGATGGGAGAACTCCTGCTTCGGAGGGCGGAGGAGAGGGACCTCGTGTAGGTCAGGGGGCGGGATGCAGGGCGGCCGCATCACACCCTCACGCCAGCTGCAGGTCCAGGCTGCGGGGGGTGGGGAGAGGTGTGTGAGAAGTGCAGTCCCCTCATCCGAAGAGTCCCCTCGCAGGCTGCCCCCCCACAGTGACCCCTCACAGGCCGTCCCCACTCACAATGTCCCCTCACAGGCCACCCCCACCCATAATGTCCCCTGACAGGCCGCCCCCACCCACAGTGTCCCCTGACAAGCCGCCCTGACCACCCACAGTGTCCCCTCACAGGCTGCCCCCACCCACCCACAGTGTCCCCTCACAGGCTGCCCTCATCCACAGTGTCCCCTCACGGGCTGCCCCCACCCACAAAGTCCCCACAGGGGACCCTCTGGCATCGGTCATTTGACAGTCAGTTCCCCTAAGGTGGTACCACAGGCCAGGGTGCAGAGCATAGGGCTGGCAGGGTCGGAGGTTGGGGGGTGTGGACAAGAGCCTCTGCTGAGGCTTCGGATGGTCAGGTGAGTTGGGCACAGCTGGGGTGTTGGGGTGCCGGCTGAGGTGGGGGCACAGGGCAGGCTGGGATGGGGGACATAGTGCAGACTTGGATGGGGGGCGCAGGCTGGGGTGAGGTCACAGGGCAGTCTGGGATGGGGGCGCAGGCTGGGTGTAGAAGCACAGGCTGGCATGGGGGGGCGGTTTCCGTAAGCTCCGGGCTGGGGGACTGCAGTGGAGTCACCTGGTCCTTGTTCTGAGTGGGTCGGGCAGGGGCACTGTGCCAGGGGAAAAAGCCTAATTTGGGGTTGGAGGTTGTTGTTCGGCACTAAGACGAGTGTTGGCTGTCTCTAGGAGCTGGCCAGCCGGGTGACAGACGGCCCGCGTCCCGGTTATGTGACATCCTCCAAGCACTCACACTTTCAATGCTTGCTTTCTGCTTCATTTTCGAGCATTTATTTATTCATGGGTTTGGGGGCGCACCCAATGGTGCCCAGGGCTTACTGCTGACTCTACGCTATGCCTGCTGGGGCTCGGGGATCGTTCGGAGTGCCTGGGATAGAACCCAGCTGGCCCTGGGGAAGCCGAGCGGGCCGCCTCTTGTGCTGCTGCTGTGGAGGAATTTTCTGTTTTGTTTTGTTTTCCCTTTTGGTCTGGTTCTGAGCCATTCCTGCTGTGCTCAGGACAGGGGGACGGAACGGAGGGACTTGGGACTCTGCGTAGGGATCCCTCACTCTGGGCCTGTGCTTAGGGCTCGCTCATCCCTGGCAGTGGGCAGGGCCTGGTGGTGCCAGAGACCAGCACTGCTCAGCACCTTTCCCACGGCTGCCTCTGCATGCACCCAACACAACACGCACACACACGCACACACACATGCACACACGTACACACATACACATGCACACAGGCACACACATATTCACACACACGCACGCACACATACACACGTGCACACACGCACACACGCACATACACATACGCACACATGTACACACACAAGTGCAAACATACATGCACACACGCGCAAACACACATACACACATGCATACACATGCACACACGCGCGCACACACGCACACACAGGCACTGCACACTAAACTCACAGCCCTCATCTAGGAGCCGTGGTCTGGGGTCTCGGAGCCCCAGTGTGTTGGCGAGAGCCAACAGGGGAGCGCAGCCACCAGCCTACCCCAGCCCTGGGGCAGCCTATCCTGGGGCTGCGGACTGTCCCGGTAGGGGCAGACCTGGACACTCCCAGAGGCTGCCTCTGGGCCACGCTGGGCGGTGCAGGGACAGAAAGGTCGCAGAACGGGTGAGACCCCACAGTGCCCTCAGGGGTCCACTTGTGTTGGGGGGCTGGCAGTCACCCCGAGGACCTCCCCCCCGCACTTCCTGGGGTCACTTAGCCAGCTCTTTTAGAAGTTTCCCTGGGGAGAGAGGGCTTAGCTTCGATTCTCTTGTGTCTGGGGCTGGAAGCGAGCCCTTCGCCAGGCCGCTGGCTGGAAACATTTTCCAGGGCAGATAACCATTGACCATCCACCCCAGCTGTCAAGAGGGGCTGTGTGGAGGTCAAAGGGCAGGGTTGGACGGTCCCTGAGAACTGGCAAGTCAAGCCACTGGTCTTCCACGCCTCCCTTTTCTTCTAGGGGACAGTGGGGGCCGAGTGGGGGTACAGCATTCTCCAGCCCCTGTGCTGAGGCCCGCTGGGTGCCCCAGGGCTTCCGGCCGTGCCCTGGTCACGCCCCCGCCCCCTGCCCTCACGGTCCTGCCTGTCTCCCCAGCATCCTGTTTGCCGACATTGAGGGCTTCACAAGCCTGGCGTCCCAGTGCACTGCCCAGGAGCTGGTCATGACGCTCAACGAGCTCTTCGCCCGCTTCGACAAGCTGGCTGCGGTGAGTGCCCACGGAGGCATGTGCTAGCATAGCACCCCTGTGGGAGAGCCCCTTGGGGCAGACACAGGCCCTGCATCCCCCCCCCCCCCCCCCCACGACACTCCTTGGGGCCTGCAGGCACTCCAGGGCTTCCAGCCTGGGAGCAGACGGGGCAGGCGGGGGGGGGGGGGGGGGCGGTTTGGAAGGCCTGCGGGCAGTGCTGCCCTGACCCCTAGGGAGCAGGAGGGTGGTGCCAGCCCGAGGGCAGTGCTGCCCCGATGCCCAGGACTCACCTGAGTGTCACTCTCTCGAGGACATGGGCTCAAGGATGGGACAGTAAGTCTGAGTCCCCGCTGGCTGCCCTCCTCTGGAAGCTTCCAGAAAGGACTCTCACATGGTCACAGGCACGGGCACATCCATTCACTGGATGCTGTTTCTGCCCTTTCCGGTGTGGACGACTGGAGGACCCGGGCCTTGCTCTCACACGTCTGCAGCCACTTCCTCGGGTGTCCCCCAGTGTGAGGCCACTGGCCCCGGCCACTTGCTCTGATGTCCCCCAGCACGGGGTCACTGGCCCCGGCCACTTACCCTGGGTCCCCCCAGCCTGAGACCACCCTCAGGCCATCACCTGGCTCAGAGCGGGACTCTGGCCTCACCCAAGTGGAGGGTGGTCAGCTCCAAATGTGGGTGCGCTCCAAGGGCCCGGGGCTCGTGAACGGCCTGAGGCGTGAGGCCTGCCGTGTCCTCTCCCAGGCCAGGTCGGGCAGGGGGCAGAGAGGGAACGTGTGGGCCCTGCTCAGCCTTGGGGACCAGCTGGAGAGGGGAATGGGAGTCGGGCTCACTCCCCGGTGCCGCAGACCCTGAGCACTTCAGGACTCACCACCCATGAGGCTCAGGGACTGTTTGTGGTGTTGAGAATCGAACCCAGGTCAGCCTCGAGCAGGGCAGGCGCCCTCCTGCTGTCCGGTGGCTCCGGCCCAGCTGTGGGTGCTGGGGCCGGAAGCGGCTGGATTTCACCCCCCGCAGGGCCTGGAGCCAGGCGGGCTGACCCCCTCCCTGAAGGCGAGTCCTGTCCTCCCCCCCCCCCCCCCCGCCCACTCTGAGCCCCTCCCCAGCGTCTCCGCCTCTCTTGCTTCCAGGAGAATCACTGTCTGCGCATCAAGATCCTGGGGGACTGCTACTACTGCGTGTCGGGGCTGCCCGAGGCCAGGGCGGACCATGCCCACTGCTGCGTGGAGATGGGCATGGACATGATCGAGGCCATCTCGTAAGTGCCGTTAGGGGCTGTCATCCGTCGTCTCTGGCAGAGGCAGGGAAACTGAGGCTGGGCCCCCACGCCTGTTAGGAGGTTGTCTTGCACCCCAGACTTGGAGCCGCCCTGACTTCTCCTCCCCAGCCGCCGGGAGAGCTTTTCTAGGGGATAAGCCGGGTTCCGCAGCCTCCAAGCGGCAGGAAGTGTGTGGACCTCCCCAGGATGACCCGGCAGCCGTCTTGAGTGCTCACTGCTGGGATATGCCCCCCCCCCCCCAGCCAGGGCTGCTCCTGGTCCTATTTCTGGTGACAAAGGCTAGACTCAGGGGTGACACAGTCCGGGACGTTCCATCCCCCCGCCTGGTCAGTAGCACAGGGGCTTTGGGGGCCCTCTTCACTCTGGTGGGAGAAGGAGGCCGGGCAGTAAACCAGACTGCCCTTGGTCGTGTCCACCAGGGCTGGCTCTAAGGATGGTGCAGCCTCAGTGGCTGGGAACTTGGGGGCCGGCCTGACTTGGGGCAGGGACCAGCCAGGGGCCTGAGATCAGCGGTCAGAAGCCACAGCCCAGAAGCATGAGGCCTGCCAAGGGAGGGAGACGGGTACTCGAGTCTGGCCTGTGGACTAGGTCAGCTCAGGGACGCCCGTGGCATGAAGGCCTCCGAGGGCAGCCAAGGGGCTTGGGAAGGGCAGGCTGTGCCCAGGCAAGTGACCAGCAGGGGAGACCCAGCGGGGCCACTCGTGGGGCTGATCCCAGGGCAGAGGAAGCTCCAGGGCCCAAGTCCCTGAGCGGGTGTTGACCTGTTGGTGGTGGCAGGGGCGATGGCAGGAGTATCTGGGGTCTCCCCAGCAGCCCTGCTGGTTCCAGTCTGCTCTGCTGGACGCAGCCCTGAAGGTGCGCCTGGGGGCGCTGAGCCCGGAACAGCCAGCCTGGTCAGTCCTCTGAGTCCTGGCATCCTCAGTGCCAGCGGGAATGCTGCAGCCATCTTCCCAGGTGCGGCCATGCCTGGCCTCTGCCCTGCCTGGGCCCCCCTTTTCACTGTTTCTCTGGACTGGGGGCCACACCTAGCAGTGCTCAGGGCTTACTCCTGGCGAGATTTTGGGGGCCGTCTTTCTCCGCTGCTCAGCCAGCAGCAGCATTGTGGAAGCATGAGTGGGCGTCGGATGGGCTGGACTGGGCCCCGTTGTGTGTTGAGTACTGGCCACAAGTGGTCTGGGTGACCCCGCGCGAGGGCAGCGGGCCTGGATTGCAGTGTGAGGCGCCACCTTGTGGCCGATCCTGGGACTGCAGGGCCTGGGGGAGGAAATGACTCTGAGCTCTGCACCCGCACCCCTCCCCCACTGTGTATGTGTGTGCGCCCGGCCCCTGACCCTCTCCCAGCCTCACCCCTGTCCATCCCCAGGTTGGTCCGGGAGGTGACGGGGGTGAACGTGAACATGCGCGTGGGAATCCACAGCGGGCGAGTACACTGCGGTGTCCTTGGTCTCAGGAAGTGGCAGTTCGACGTCTGGTCTAACGACGTCACGCTGGCCAACCACATGGAAGCTGGAGGCAAAGCGGGGTGAGTGAGGGGGACCGCCCACCCCAGCTGGCCTCTCCCGGGGGCACGGCCTGGACACCCTGGCACGAGCTGGCGGTCGGCAGCCCTGGATGGCAGAAGCTCTGTTGCACCGCTCACATGTACCTGTGGAGTTGTGGGGAGGGGGGCGGGCCCTCCCCAGCAGATGCTCCCCCAGAGCTTGGGGAGACGGGGTGGGGAGGAGGCAGGGTGATGTCCCTGTGAGCTGGCCTGGGGACGGGGGCAAGGGGGTGGGACACCGGGCTCCGGACACGCCCCAGTGCCAGGCCTGTGGCCAGCGTGGGTCTCGGCCACCTGCGGGGCTGCTTGCAAAGTCTGTGAGACCAAGGCAGGCTCTTGGGGGCTCAAGATGGGCCCCCGGTTCCCAGTGGGCCCCCTGCTCCGTCCCGATGCTGGACAGGACGTGGCCTGTCCAGGGGCGCCCGGCTGACCGGTGTCCTCTGCCCGCCTGCCCCCAGGCGCATCCACATCACCAAGGCCACCCTCAACTACCTGAACGGGGACTACGAGGTGGAGCCGGGCTGTGGGGGCGAGCGCAACGCCTACCTCAAGGAGCACAGCATCGAGACCTTCCTCATCCTCAGCTGCACGCAGAAGCGGGTCAGACACAGCGTGGACACACATGGGCTTCCGGGGGGGGACGCTCATGGACCCTTCGTCTCTCACGGCCTCCCCAGACACAGGGGCTCCCCCAGGGTCTCTTCCACCGGCCACATCCTGCCCTCGCCCCCTCGTCTCTGTTCCAGAAACACCTGCGTTCCTCAGGCTCTTGTGGGGCCTCTGGAACAGTCCTGGGGGTTCCTGGGGGTTCCAGAGGCTTCCACAGACAGAGAGGGAGGAGAAGGAGGAAGGGGAAGAGAGAAGGAGTGGGAAGAGAGGAGAGGGGAGGAGAGGAGAGAGGAGGTGAGGGAGGAGGTGAGAGAGCTTCTTGGCAAAAGCAAGGGGTGCGGCGGAGCAAAGGACTCTGGGCCACAGGGAAGCTCAGACGGGAGACCCCCACGGAAAGGCAGCTTCACCCGGGAGAGGCGAAGCTCACTCCCCTCAGGAGGGAGCACGACACCATTAAAAATAGCGCCCTGAGGCCTGCTAATAATTCAGTTTTATATTTTGGCAAGTGTGGGCTGAGACAAAGAGGGAGAAGAAAGGGACCAGGAAGGGAAAGAGGTTGAGGGAAGAAAGTGCAGAGGAGGGAGGGGGCTGCCCAGGGGCACAGGGGCAGGGTGTGGGCCGCAGGGGCTCTCAGACACCCCGAGACCTCTCATGCCCTTCGGAGCTCTGGGGCTGACAGGGTCAGAAGCAAGTGAGCGCCCTCCTCCGTCTCCTCTCTCCTCACCTCCTCTCTCCTCTCTCATCTCCTCTCTCCCTCACCTCCTCTCTCCTCTTCTCTCTCTCACCTTCTCTCCTCCCTTCCTCTCTCCTCACCTCCTCTCTCCTCCTCTTCTCCTCTCTCCTCTCCTCTCTCACCTCTTCTCTCACCTCCAAGCTCAAGGCACACATGAACAAGAAGACCTGGTCAGAGTACCTCAGGGGGCAGCTGAGTACCCCCAGGAGACTCTCGGGCTGGGTGCCTCCCCCGAGGCCACCCTGGGCCACTGGTCCTGCTTAGGGCCCCAGGGGAAGCTCCGCCAGGTCAGGCAGACGCAGGAGGAGGGACAGGGGAGACAGGGCCGCCTGAGGAGGCGGATCTTTCAGCAATTGCCTGTGCTCTGACTAGAATGTGACTACGGCTGGGGGAAGGAGGCCGGCGGCACCCTCCTGCCTGTCAGGCTGAGGCCCGCCGTCCCCCACCTGTCGGGGTCTCTTGGTGACCTGGAAAGATGGCACGGAGGCAGAGATGCCTTAGCCCCCCAAGCGGCACCCCTCTGCACCCCCTGACCTGCCAGTTCCCTTCTCGGACTCAGGAAGTCTCCCCAAGGCCCCCTCCGTCCCCGTCTCTTAGACCGTGCGGGCGGCAGGCAGCAGGCCGCGGAGGGCACTGTGTTTGTGCGTGAGCCCCAGGCCTGCCGCAGGCTGCTCCCTGCCAGCCCCTCCCCGTCGCCTCGGTCTGGCGTGACTCCTTGGGCCAGGTGGAGAGAGACGGGCATGGAGGCCCTCTCCTCCCAGCGTACCGGGCTCTGCTGTACAGGGGGCCTGAGCACCCCGCCTGCCCATATGGCCAGCCCGGGCCTCTCGCACTGGTGCCCTGCCAGGCCAGGCATGGGGGCTGGGGGTATTTAGGGGCCTCGGGGCGAGCACTTGCATCTGCGCGAGCCTCTGGGTGCCGGGCAGGCAGTTGGGCTCCCGGGCCGATGCTTCCCCGTTGCTGCCCCAGAAAGAAGAGAAGGCCATGATTGCCAAGATGAATCGCCAGAGAACCAACTCCATCGGGCACAACCCGCCGCCCTGGGGGGCCGAGCGCCCCTTCTACAACCACCTAGGCGGCAACCAGGTGTCCAAGGAGATGAAGCGCATGGTGAGTGGCAGCTGCGGCCTGCAGGGGGCGCTGCGGCGGAGAGGGGAGGGAAGGAACCCAGACAGTCTCAGAAGGGGGCACGCAGTGGGGACTCCCCTTAGCTGGGGGCTCGCCGGGACCACCCCCGGCCCCTAGAGATGGCCCATGCAATGCCCTCCCCGCTACTGGCTGGTGCCGCTCCCTCTGTCGCCCACGCTGGCCTCTCCCAGACTCTGGGTGGCCACTGTGGGTTTGGCACCCAGCCAGGGGCCTTCCTCTCGCACCCCTGACCCATGCAGGGAACTCAGAACCATCCCAGCCCTGGTGCCTCACCTCCTGGGTCCAGTCTCTTAATGCCAGCACAGCCTTGCAGGTGACCCAAGTCTGGAGGATCGTTAGGGGGACTCGTATGCTCAGTGTATGTTGGTTTGTGTGTATGTATGTGAACATATATGTCTGTCCTGGTGTACGCCGCATGTATCTGTGCACCCGTGTATGTGTGTGTCCACCTGTTTGTGACCTACAGGGGTCAACAGGGTGCGCCCCCTTGTTTCCGTCTGAGTGAAGTGACACACTTGCCAGGAGCCCCACCAGCCCAGGACTAAGGGCACCAGGGGATGTGACCCGGCGGAGGTGTGGGGGCAGAGCTTAGGCAGAGAGCAGATGGTGGGTGAGGAGACAGAGTGCGGAGCCTGCCCCGTCGGGGGGTCTGGCTGCGGGTGAGGCAGAGGCAGAGCGGGGGCAGCTCCGGATGCCCCATCCTAACTCCTGTCTCACACTCTTCTCTCCCTCCCCCTCCTCAGGGCTTCGAAGACCCCAAGGACAAGTGAGTAATGTGCCGTGCTTGGTTCCTGCCACCCCAGCCTGGGGGTGGGGGGCACCACTGCACCCCTGTCCCAGCTCATGCTGAGTGCCCACAGTGCAGAGGTCTGGCACACACACGCACGACACATACACACACACAGAGCATATACACATACATACACCCACACACATGTGCACACGTACACACGTATACGTACATATACATGTATACATGACTGAAGCGATAGAACAGTGGCAGGGCGTTTGCCTTGTATGCGGCTGACACAGCTGACCCGGTCGACCCGGGTTCGATTCCTCTGCCCCTCTCGGAGAGCCCGGCAAGCTACCAAGAGTATCTCGCCCGCACGGCAGAGCCTGGCAAGCTCCCCGTGGTGTATTTGATACGCCAAACACAATGGAGACGTTACTGGGCCCGCTCGAGCAAATGGATGAACAACGGGAGGACAGGACAGGACAGGACACATGCACACACACACATATACCCACATATGCATATACATACATGTCCACACATACACATATGCATACACATACACACACGTATACATACACACATACACACATGTACACATGCATACACACATGCATGCACACACAGCACACACAAGTGCACGTACACCTCCACACATGTGCGCACCTCCACGTGTGTGCATGCTCACGTGAGCGTGTGCATGCATGCCCATGAGCACAGCTCTCAGGAAGAGCAGAGCTCACCCGTGTCGCCCCAGTGATCCTTGTCCCGGACCAGCATCATGCCCCAGTCCCAGCCTTGCTTCAGGCCATGCACGGCTGGAGCATGAGGAGTGGAGTCTGCTCACCTCGGGGACACACAGGCCTCGGCGGTCACTCCTGTCTGCTGTGAGACCAACAGGACACAGGCAGAGACACGCCGGGCTCTCCACGAGGCGCCCCTCACTTTCCTCTAAGAGCGAGGCTGGGTTTCCGGCCTGTGTGTGCCAGCCCCCACGCCACCCACCTCTGGGCGCTGGGCCCTCCCGTGGCACCCCTGGGGATCCGTCAGCCTGCACCCACTCCTCTCGCCCCCAGGAACGCTCAGGAAAGTGCAAACCCTGAGGATGAAGTGGACGAGTTCCTGGGCCGCGCCATCGACGCCCGGAGCATCGACAGGCTGCGCTCGGAGCACGTACGCAAGTTCCTGCTGACCTTCAGGGAGCCTGACCTAGAGAAGAAGGTACCGCCCGGGCATGGCGCAGGCCAGGGTGGGTGTCAGGCCGAAGCAACAGTCCCGGGAGCCGGGGTTGGAGGGGCTCCGAGGCTGGCCGGGTCCACCTCACTCCGCTCCTGCGGGTCGTCTGCTCCCCTCAGCTCAGGGGCAGCTCCCCCTGTCTGTGTGAGAGGCACCAAGGTCCGGGTGTCCACATCTGGCCACTGTGGCCGTGGGTGGCATCACCCTCCTGCCCGCGGCACTGTGGGCACCTCTGTGTGGTAGAGTGGGGGGGTGCTCTTTTCCACTTCTGAGGTGGGTAGTGGAGAGCGCTAAAACTCACATTGGGCCCCGCCCTGGCCAGCGTCCTCCATGCCAGCTGTCCGGCATGCAGGGCACTAGCTGCTGCCGGGGCCAGGCCAGGTGGTCGTAACCACCCGGCGAGGGGGCAGAAGAGCTGGGCCCAGGGTCAGGGGCGGGGTCTCAGCAGGACCCCCGTCCCCAGTGTCCGTGTCTGTCAGAGGTGAAGGCAGGAGGGTGAGGTGGAGGGAAGGGAGCAGACTCTGAGCCACGGAGACTGCACCCAGCCCATGGGCCAAGCCAAGGGCCCACCTCGGTCCCTGTGAGCTGCCGGGTCATGGAGGCAGCTGGGGCCGGTGACCACGGCTGGGCCAGGAGCTCTGGGAGCACCCACCCCCCCCAATTCCACGCCACTGGGAGCCTGCAGAGGCGTGCCCTGGCCGGGACAGTGCAGGGCCTCTCACCTGAGCTGTACTTCCAAGCCTCGGGCAAGTGCCGGCTCAGCCCGGCCCTCACAGCCGCGTCTCTCGCGTGCTCTGGACTGCTGCTGGCTCGGGGGGACAGAGCAGCCGCTGTGCTCGGCCCCTCTCACCCCGCCTTTCCCTCAGTACTCCAAGCAGGTGGATGACCGATTCGGTGCCTACGTGGCGTGCGCCTCGCTCGTCTTCCTCTTCATCTGCTTCGTCCAGATCACCATTGTGCCACAGTAAGTCACTGTGCGGCTCTGCAGGCCCCGGCACGGGCAGGGGGCTGTGGGGGGCAGAGCCCGGGCACTGACAGGGTGGGGGGCTGTGGGGAGCAGGAACGAGAGTCTGGGGGTGGGGAGTGTGCCGGTGTGTCCAGGCCTCCGGGTCCTGGGAAGTCGGGCTGTGGCTCCGATGGGGAGGCCACGTTCCTCTGCTGGGCTGGGAGGTCACTGCAGCTCTTTGTTTGGGCACTTCTGACCGGTGCCCGTGGGGGACTTTCAGCTCCCCAGTGATTGGCCTTGAGGGGAAGTGGCCGGGTGCTTCCACCTCTCTGCTAACCGTCCGCGGGGAGAGCATGCTCCGAGCAGGAGGCCAGGGGCAGGGCCTGGGTAGACTGTGGCCCAATGCCCAGGCTCAGCCTGCAGCTCCCGTAATCCCTCATACCGCGAGGGACAGGCCAGCTGGATCTTACGGCGCGTCCTTCCACGCTAAGCAAACCCGGAGGGTCCTGAGTCAGTGCACAGAGCCCATTTCCCAGGGAGTGTGGCAGGGCAGGGCAGGGCAGTGGGCAGGGCCAGCGAGCCAGGGGCATTCTGAGGAGACGGATGTTGGGTAGCGTGGCCGCCAGCCCACCCTCCCGGAACTCCTTCCCCGTCCTGCAGCTCTCTCTTCATGCTGAGTTTCTACCTGACCTGTTTCCTGCTGCTCACCTCAGTGGTGTTCGTGTCTGTGATCTACTCCTGCGTGAAGGTGAGTTCAGGCCCCTTCCTCCCAGCCCCCTGCCCTTTCTGGGGCCTGCCCAGGGGGTCTGGGATCTGGAGCACATGGCGGGGTTCATGCACTTTGTTGTCAGAGCCTTGTGCCTGCCTGGCCTGACTCACCCCTGCTCAGGGCTGGCAGCAGCTCAGACTGTGGGGCTGGGGGCGTGGGCCAGCCTAGCCTTGCTTGTGTTGGTCCTTCCGTTTCTTCATTTTGGAGCGGGGGTACGGTCGTACCCAGCAGTGCACAGAGGTCACTTCTCACATGGCCCCAGGGACCCCATGTGGTGAGGGGACTGGGCCAGGTGCCGTCCGTAATCCCTGTACTGTCCCTTTGGCCCTGTGTTGGTTGTTTTATTTTGTTTTAGTTATCTTTAAGTTATACGAATGATAATGACTTTAATTATTTGGGGCTACATCTGGGCCGCAGCGATAGCACAGCGGGTGGGGCATTTGCCTTGCAAGCGGCCAACGTGGCTGATCCGAGTTCGACTCCTCCGCCCTCTCGGAGAGCCCGGCAAGCTACCGAGAGTATCTCGCCCGCACAGCAGAGCCTGGCAAGCTCCCCGTGACGTATTCAATATGCCAAACACAGTAACAACAAAGTCTCCAATGGAGACGTTACTGGGCCCGCTCGAGCAAATCGATGATCAACGGGAGGACAGTGACAGGACAGTGGGGCCACACCCGGTGGTGCTCAGGGCTTCCTCCGGCTTCGTGCTCAGGGACCACTCCTGGAAGTTCGGGGCACCATAGGTGATGCCGGGCATTGGAGCCAGAGCCTCGCCCCCTGCACCGGCGCCCTCTCTCCTGCGCCGTGTTGACACTTTCGTCAGCCTTTGTGAAGCTTTGGGTTGGAGGTGCTGCTGCTACTTCCCATGGACCCATCCATGTCGGCAGGGAGCAGAGGAAAGCCCTGCATGTTGCTGGGCCCTGCAGTCGCCCTGGAGGGTGGACCCCCCACAGAGGCAGAGGGAGGCCCCGCGGGGCAAGTGCTTCCCGCGGGGCTGCAGGGTGGGTATCGCCTTGCTCCCTCCCCAGCCCCTCTGGCCTGCTGTAGATGTCTCCACGGTCCCATTCGCCTGGGCGCCAAGCCTTCCCCTCCTCCGCGGGCCTCAGGACTCCCTGAGGAGGCCAGCCTGGCTCCAGAAAGCTCTGACCCCTGCCCCCCCCCCGGGCTCCCCAGAGACCTGCAGCTCTGCAGAGAAGCAGTGCCCTTCATGCAGTCTGCTGGTGCTCATGAAGAGCATGGGCAGAGCGAGATGAGTCAGAGGGAGAGAGGGCCAGACACGGAGCGACCACGCTCGTCTGCAGGATGTAGAGGACGTAGTGGGTAATGATGTCCACAGGCAAGAGCCGGGAAGATGGAGGAGTGGTCCCGAGTGGGCCTTGCCGCGATGGGGCGGGTAGGTTGGGGGAGGTGGGACCGCTCTGACAGTGATGGTGGGAAGTATCCCGCAGGACAAGAACCGGGTGTGGAGAGGAGGTAGAGGGGAACAGTGCCCGTTCAGGAATGTATTGCAAACCCCAGTGCCTGAAAGGAAAAAAAGGAATAAATGTGGGGCTGGAGCGAGAGCACAGCGGTTAGGGCATTTGCCTTGTACGCAGCCAACCCGAGTTCAATTCCCAGCATCCCATATAGTCTCCTGAGGACGGCCAGGAGTAACTCCTGAGTGCAGAGCCAGGAGCAACCCCTGTGCATTGCCGGGTGTGACCCAACAAGCAAAAAAAAGCAAAAAAATTAAGAATAAACGTGTCTGCTGTAGAAGCCGGCTAGGGGCAGGAGGGAAACTGGGGTGGTGAGGGAACGGGTGCTCGGACGCGGTGCAACTGGAACTCAATCACGATCAACTGCGCATCTCATGGCGATTCAGTGACGACTCTTAGAAAGGAATAAGCTGGGCCGTCGTGGCGGCTGCTCCATGCACGGCGAGCACAGTGTCCCCGGCACAACCTCCCAGGCTCTGCGTGCACCTGTCCCTGCCCTGTGCTTGCTGATGCACCTGCTCGTCTGCCTGGCGGACTCCTGTCTAAGGAGGGGGGTCCCTGGGGACAGAGGAGGTCTCCTGCCTCCTCTCAGCCACCCCGGGCACCCGGGGAAATCCCTGGGGCGGTTTCAGACTGGCAGTCTGTGGTGAACACCTGCACGGCACAGAGCTGGGGTCTCGGACCACACCCCCAGACCCACTTGTTCTCCACCGTGTGGTGATGGTCCTCGCACCCCGGGGACCCAGCCATGGCTCCCAGGTTGGAGCGAGGAATTGCTCTTTGTGGGAAAGGAAAGTCAGGCCTAAATCTTGCCCAGGCTTACCGAGTCTGCCGCCTTCCCTCTCAGAAAAGGATTTTTAGGGAGAGACAATGAAGTAAGTAGTTTGTGTGGAAATAGGGGTGGGGTGGGGGGAGAGGAACCTGTGTTCAGGAGAGAACTCGCGAGATACTACAACAGGTAGGGTGCTCGCTGTGCACGTGGCCAGCCCCAGCACCCCAGTTGGCCCCCGGTCCCCACCAGGAGTCAGGAGTCAGCCCTGAGCACCACTGCAGGTGGAGGAGGGAGGAGAGAGAGCGAGAGCGAGCGAGCGAGAGAGAGAGAGAGAGAGAGAGAGAGAGAGAGAGAGAGAGAGAGAGAACATGGACTTCTCCAGGATGGGAAAGTCCATGCACACATCCTAGTGCATCTGCAGATCTGCAGTGCATTTCCCAGCTGGAGGCTCCAAGCCGGAAAGAAGGTTAGCGTCAGGAGCAGATGCAGGCACCTCCCGAATGGGGGGGGGTACTCCTTTTCCTCTGCCAAGTTAGTTCTTTGCAGTTTTCCCAAACCGTCCCCCAAAGTCTGTTGCTAGGGCGGTTGCTGAGGGGAGGACTCGAGGTCTCTTGGCTCTTCGGGTGTGTTTCTGTGTTCTCAGCTTGGCTTTCTCCCATGCCGGCCCCTCACCCGGGATCTGTCTGCTCTCTGGACCCACCCGGGATTCTGCATCCCCAGCGCTGTGTACCCCTCTGTGGTTCCTCGTGCCTTGGCGTGGTTAGGTTCCGAGCAGTGTGTCCATTACCAGACCCTTCTGTCTACCTGTGGCAGAACCACATGGACGGGGGCCCAGCAGGAATAGATAATGCGGTGGTCGGTCCTTGCATGGCTTTTACTCATCCATGGCCAGGCGGGATTTGTAGACGGGTCGCCTCAGTGTGGATGAATCCCAACCACGTTGCGCGGTGACAGATACGAGCGCTGTGTTGTGTGGTTGCGCTTGGTGTGAGACCTTGAAAGGCAAATGCATGAAGTGGAAGGCGGAGAGGCCGTGGCGGATGAACAGGAGCCTCCGGAATGACTCAGAGAGTCTTTCTTTCTTTTTTACATTTTTGTTTGCTTGTTTGTTGGGGGAGGGGGCACCCCCAGGGATGCTCCGGGTTGCCTCTGGCTCTGCACTCAGGAATTACTCCTGGCAGTGCTCAAAGGGAGTGCTGGGAATTGAACTTGGTTGGCTACGTGCAAGGCAAACACTACTTGCTGTCCCGTCTCTCCAGCCCCTGACTCATTTTCTGCTTGCTGAGGTGAGAGGGTTGTAGAAACACTAGTCACGTGTGTAATTCATGCCTCTGAATTGCAATCCAGACTTGAGAAGTGGCAATGAATGACTGGAATTGCAGTCGAATTTATCATATACAATTTTGATTAGAACAGAGCTATACAACCATAGTTCAAAGGGCACACGAGAAGCTTGCTGAGGCCCCAAGAAATCCTGTTCATTTGCTCGTTTTGCTTTGGGGCTCTGCCCGGTGGTGCTCCGGGCTCACTACTCCTGGCAGTGCCCAGAGGGATTGATGTGATGGCAGGAACGGAACCACCAGGGTCAGCTGCATGCAAGACAGGTGCCTTAACCTCTATACCATCGTTTCTCTCTGGACATATTTTCTTTTTTAAAATTAAAACACAGAGGCAAAATCACTGTTTGTCTGAGCCACTTCATGATCTGACTCAGAGCTGAAGCAAGCCCGTTACCTGCCGCTTGTTACCCGCTAACCTGGAGTCGGCACACGTGAGCTTCGCTGATTCATTTGACTTGTGTCCTGCGATTTGCTCCTGAGTCTGGTGGGAGGGACGAGGAGGTGAGGGAGATGGGGTGGGGGGTGGAGGGGTGGCCTGGTTGCCTTCTCCCTGCATTGGCCAGCTCCACTTACTGACTGGGTGATTCCTTTTGTCCCACCATTCAAGCTGGTGAAATCACCTCTGCCTTCTGCTTTATTGGCTTCAGCTCTTTCAGCAGTCTTGTCCATCAGGCTTGTTCTCAGTTCCTCTCTCACTGCTCTCGTCCCGCGTTCCTTGTGGAGGCTGGTGGGGGACCCACCTCTGTCCCAGCACATCACCCTTCCCTCGCCCTGCAGCCCAGAGCAGAGCGCCCCCCCCCCCCCACCTATCTCTCAGGTCTGGAGGGAATCCTCCTACTGGAAAAATCTGTTCTGAAAAAGAAAGTGTTCGTTGGCTTATCAAGAGGGCATTCAAGGGGCTGGAGGGAAAGCATAACGGATAGGGCGTTTGCCTTGCATGCGGCTGACCCGGGTTCAATTCCCAGCATCCCATATGGTCCCCTGAGCACCAACAGGAGTAATTCCTGAGTGCAGAGCCAGGAGTGACCCCAAAAGGCAAAAAAAGAGGGCATTCAGGTTGGGCAAGGATCACCTCTGTCTGCTTCCAGAACATTGTCGTCATCGCCCCCAAATACTGCACGTCTGTTCGCCATCCTTCCTCCCTGACCCCCCCCAAGCCCCCAGTGCACTCTGTTTCCCAGAAAGTGCTTCTTCTCAGACGTTTTGTATCAAGATCCAAGACAATGCAGACATATATGGCCTTTGACAGTGGCTTCATTTCTGAACATATTGTCTCTGAGATTCACCCACGCTGTACCAGAGCCACCATTATATCCCTTTTATAGCCAAGTAATATTCCCTTTGTGTGAAAATGTCACGCTTCATGTGTCTTTTCTTCGTTCAGTGGGCATGTGGGTTGCCTCATCTTTTGGGCACTCAGAATAGTGCTGCGTGAACATCACTCTGAGGTTCTGTGCAGACGAGCTTCCAACCCTCGGGGTAAACTAGCAGCTCCTTCGGTGACTGGATTGAGGGGCTGCCGGTTCTGTGCACACACTCGGCTGCCTTCCATCCTACAGCCCCGCCGGGGAGTTTCTCCACATCTTCACCAGCACTTGTTCCTGTCCGGCTTTGGGTTGCAGCCGCCTGAGCAGGCGTGAAGGGCGGGTGGTGGTTTGCAGTGCCCCGACATCGCTCCTCTGGAGGGTGACTCGAGGCTTCATCATTCGGGGCTGTGCTCCGCTGTGCCATTGTACCTCCCCACTCGCTGCGAGGAAGCTTCCAGTTTCTCCATGGCCTCCTCAACCTCTTTCATTTGGGGGTGGTGGTGGTTTGGTTCGGGGACCACACTTGGCAGTACTCAGGGCTTACTCCTTCTCCTGCGCTCAGGGACCGCTACTAGGTCGTGGTGCTTGGGATGTGGTGCCTGAAGTAGAACCAGGTCAGCTCTATGCCAAGCAAGCCCCTTGCCCTCGGCTCTAGCGCTCTGCTTGTTTCTGCACAGTCTCATTTCAGTCTGATTTTAGTCCAACCTCTTAGCCCTACAGTGAGGTTCCGTGGGTCTGGTTTTTCCCCTTGTACTTTTGGTGTCCTAGCTAAGAAACCACACTCGGTGGTGGTGCTCCTGTGCTTTCTTGGGTGGTGGTTCTCACAAGTGCTCGCTGGGAGTGGGCCACACTCTTCCACTGTGGTCTCATGCATGCTTCAGCCGTGGTCTCACTGGCCACTCACGGTGCTCCCCAGGGATTTTCCTGCTGGCTGTGGTGCTCACACACCTCGGAGTGGTGCTGACCTGAGGGTCACACCATGACTGAGCAACCATGACCCGTGACCCGTGCTGGGTCCACAGTGTGTGCTCAGTGCCCTAGCGGCCCCAGGACGGCCTGTGGGAAGGCAGACGGTCACTCTGAGCCCTCTCTGGCCGCCTTCTCGCAGCCCTGTGGCTGCCCCTCTGTAGACACACAGTCGGTGGCGCTGGAGGGCGGAGGGAGAGTTGGTGAGGGAGCAGCAGACACAGGAGCCCAAGGCTGACAGGCGCACTCTGCCCTCTGCTCTGCCTGTCTCATAAGCTCGCCCCTTCTTCGGACACCAGACCCTCCACATACCCCCACCCACTGCTCCAGGAAACTTCAGAACCTTCAGAAACTTCAGCCCTGCCCTGAGTGTGACCCCCGGGCAACGCCGAATCCACTGGGGGCATCGCTGTGTCCTCTGCCTCCCTTGGTGGGTTGGGGCAGCATCTCTGGCCAGGGCCAGGGCTGGGGCCCAGTGGGGGCACCCACCTGGCAGTCATGTGCTGAACTCAGTGCCACACGGTCCTCTATATACTCCCAGGAGTGACTCAAGACTGAGGACACCCCTGCCCCCCCACTTCCCAGAGCCGTCGGTTGTGGCCCCAAATCCAAAAATAATAGTGCTCCGGAGCTGGAGAGAGCGAGTGCAGGGTGAGGGCGCTCTTGGGCACCGCCAGCCACAGTTTGGCGAGGCACCCCATCTGGTCCCCCCAGGCACTGCCAGGAGTGATCCCTGAGCACAGAGCCAGGAGGAAGCCTGGAGGAAGCACAGTTGGGGGCGGCCTCAAAAAATCCATTAAAAAGTAGCAAAAGCGTCTCTGCCTTCATCTTGCTCCTCCCCTGAGACCCCCAGGCAGACCCGCCTCGCCTGCTGTAGAATCTGGAGCCTGTGGGCTGGCCCCTGGGGGAGGCAGTCGGATGACCCCGGGTCCTGGAAGGAGCTGGGGTGGGGCGCACGTCCCTGCTCCTCGGTGCTGGGCTGGTGCCCCCGAATCCCGTCCATCTCGTCCCCCTCTCCCGGGACAGCTGTTCCCCAGCCGGCTGCAGGCCCTGTCCAGGAAGATTGTGAGGTCCAAGACGAACAGCACTCTGGTTGGGGTGTTCACCATCATCCTGGTGTTCCTGTCGGCTGTCGTCAACATGGTGGGTGCCCCCGTCCCTCCAGGGACGCCTCTCTGCGCCCGCTCTGTGCCAGGGAGGGGCCCCCGACTCCCGCCCGCCCTCCCCTTCCCCGGACAGAGGGACCGGGCCACACCTCCAGCCCGCCTCTCCTCGTCCCCTCCCGCTCCCTGCCCTGCCCGTCCCGGCGCCGGGTGGGCGATAGGGCTGACCGTACTCTTGCTGGCCCCCAGTTCATGTGCAACTCGGGTGACCTGTCCGGCTGCCTCGCCGCAGAGCGCAACATCAGCAGTGCCCAGGTCACCGCCTGCCACGTGGCGGCCGACAACTACAGCCTGGCCGACGAGCAGGGCTTGTGCGGCAGCCCCCGGCCCACCTGCAACTTCCCCGAGGTACTGGGCAGGGAGGGGTCGGGCCCCGGGGACTGCGCCCCCCCCCCCCACACTACTAGCTTGACTCCTGCTGGCTGGGTCTGGACCACACCTGGCTCAGCCACTGCCTGGTCAGCCCCAGGCAGATGAGAACTCGGGCACAGAGAAGCTAAGTGACTTGCCCAAGGTCACACAGCTAGTCAGGGGCAGTCCCAGAGCCTCTGGCTAGGTCATCTGACCCAGAGTTCCTGCTCAGAACCTCAGAGCACCCCAGTTTCTGGACCCTCAGCTTGTCAACAGCTCCCACCCTGCCCCAGGAGAGCCTGCACAAGACTGGGGAGTCCCGAGGGAGCAGTCCAGGCCACTGCTTCCACCAGGCTGTCCCGCCCACAGTACTTGGCCCCCCAGGGCTTCATCGCCCGCAGTGGCCCCCGCTGCCCACCAGGCGGGAGGGTGTGCGGTGAGGGGTGGGGCCCGAGGGAGGTGGAGGAGACGGCCGGGCCCCGCTGACCGCCGCCGGCCGCAGTACTTCACCTACAGCGTGCTGCTCAGCCTGCTGGCCTGCTCCGTGTTCCTGCACATCAGCTGCATCGGGAAACTGGCGCTCATGCTGGCCATCGAGCTCGTCTACGTGCTCATCGTGGAGGTGCCCAGCGTCACGCTCTTCGACAACGCCGACCTGCTGGTCACCGCCAACGCCATGTACGTGCCGGGGCTGTCCTGCTGCTCCCCAGTGCACCCAGGAGATGGCTTCTGGGGTCCTTTCTCTCCCTCCCGTCCCAGGGCGGGGGTGGGCCCGAGGCTGGCTGGGACCTGTCGCCACCTGCCCGCTGCCCGCCCTGTCCCTGGGCCCCCGGCAGGACTGCGGCTGAGTGGGCCCGGGCGGGGTCTGTGCCCAGGACGATTCCCATCTCCGAGACTCGCCTCGGGCCTCGGGCTCAGGCTGGCTCTTGGAGGCCGCGGCCTCCGTTCTGTCTGCCACTCGGGGAGGTGGAGGCTGCGACCCGGCTAGAGCTGGGCCTGAGCCCCAGTGACATGTGTCAAGACGTCAGGGTCCCATCTGGGCCGGGAGGCTCTGGAAGGCTGAGTTTTGTTTTTGTTTAGTGTTTTAGGGTTCGTGCTGCACCCAGCAGTACTCAGGGCTGCTCCTGGCTCTGTGCTCAGGGATCCCTCCTGGTGGGGCTCAGGGCCCCAGGTATGGTGCTGGGGGTGGAACTAGGGTCAGCCCAGGCCAGGGGAGAGCCCCCCGCTGTGCTGTCTCTCCAGTCCTGAGGGCTGAGTTTGAGCTTCAACCTTAGACACACGTTTGGCCATTTTGCCTGAACCTCATTTAAATACCTAGTAGAAATACCCACAGTGGGAAAATATAAAGTGTCTAAAGTGTCTGATGCGTAGGATTTAACTTATCCCTCCACATCACCGTCTCTCTCTCTCTCTCTCTCTCTCACACACACACACACACACACACACACACACACACACACTCACACACCCCAGAAAGTGCACAACATGTGTCAGGTCTGTGTTCCCTGAGAAAATATATCCAATTGAACCTTCCCTGGATCCAGAAAGGAGTCTCCCATCTACCCATCTGCTCAAAAGTATTCACCTATTTATTTTGGTTTTGAGGCCACACCCAGCGGTGCTCAGGGGCTACTCCTGGCTCTGCACTCAGGAATTACTCCTATGGGGAGGGACCCTATGGGGTCCCAAGATCAAACCTGGCTTGGCAGCCTGCGATGCTCCAGCCACTCAAAAATATTTATTTACTGTGCGTGTGTGTGTGTGTGTGTGTGTGTGTGTGTGTGTGTGTGTGTGTGTGTTGCCCAGGATCGAATCTGGGGCCTCACACATGTGGGACATACTCTCTCCATGCACATCCCTGGCCCCTGTTTCCTCTTTTTTCCACGGTGGAGTAAGATCCCTGGAGTGCCCATCCCACACACTCCCGTCAGTGAGATATCGTGTCTCCCTCTCCGGTCAGTGGGCATTTCAATGAGCTCCAAGTCTGGGTGGCTGCAGAGAAGACAGCTGTGCACATATCAGTTAGAATGGGTGTTTTCTTAATCCTTGAATGCCCAGAGTGGTGCCCCGAGCCCGTGGCTCTTGTTCCTCACTAGAACTGGTTTGTGATCTTTTGGGGATGTGCCTGTGTGAAGTGACACCCCATCGTGTCTGTCCCCAACAGTCAGTGATGGCAAGCAGTTACTTCCTCACGCGTGTCTGGACCATCTCTGTCTTCTTAGGAACATTTTTACGTGACCCACAGATCCCACACACTGCTTGCATGTAGTCAATCTACAGTCACACGGGCTCTTCTGCTTTGTTGGGCCTAGTGCTCGCTGGCCTTCCCGGACACTGCCGTGACTGCCGGGGTGTCAGGGCAGGGAGGGGTCCTGCTGTCAGCCCAGCTCGGGGCCAGGGAACAGCTGGGAGAGGCAGTCTGGGAGCTCGGGCTCGGGGCCCGCTGGGGGGTTTGTCGTCATGGTAACCGCAAAGGCTCCTCGGAACTGGGCTCCCTGCGAGGGTCTGGAGGGTGGGGTGCAGAGCAGGCAGAGCAGGCTAGGGGGAGGCTGTGAGCCGGGAAACAGCCCTGAATGCCCCCACGACTTCCTCCCACAGAGACTTCAGCAGCAGCAACAACAACGGGACCTCCCAGTGGTGAGTGGGCGCCTCCGGGGGCCGTCTGGGTGGGGGGCTCTTTGTGGCCTGCTGGGCAGTGAAGGAGCAGGCCCGGGTCAGTGCCTAGCCCTCAGGCCCCTTGTCACTTGCACCCGGGGCTCCTGAGAGGGGCAGCGGGTGGGGTACAAGCTCGCAGTCTGCTTTGAGGTGCTGGGTTACTTATTTGGGTATTGGGGGCCACACCCAGTGCTCTCAGCCCACTGCCCACTGCAGCTCACGGAGGGCCAGTGAGGGCAGCCACACAGTCCTGTGGCCCAAGCATGGCTTTTCAGCCCTATGACCTTCTCCCTAATGAGGATTAATGTGCCTCTCATGAGCCTTTAATGAGGATTATTTTTCATGTGTTTGTTTTTGGGTCACATCCGACCCTGCTCAGGGCTCACTCCTGGCTCTGCTGCGGCATCGCTCCTGATGGGGCTCTGGGGACTGTTTGCGGTGTCAGGAGTTGCACCCGGTTGGCTGCGTGCAGGGCCAGCACCTTGCCCTGTGCCCCGTCGCTGGCACTGTTCATTATAATGTTAGCAGAGATACAATCAGGTGATACAAGCCACCCGTTCTCGGCCGCTGCCATTTTCCGGGGAGTCCGGCTGTGCTTGCAGGTGGGGTCTTCCACACTGCCCGCTCTTGAGATACGGCAGTTGTCACTGAGGCAAGGAGGCCTTACCCAGGGTACCCAGAGATGGCCAGGGCGGCCCTAGCTTGGCTGGGTGCAAATGCCACCTGTTTGCAGGGCCACGGTCCCTGCTGCTGAGCACCGGAGCCTGGGGAGGAGATGGGGTCGTCAGAAGGGACTTTAGGAGGCTGCAGGGCTTGCCCTGAGGTGCCCGGGCCTCTGTCTCCCTCCCGTAGCCCTGAGCACGCTACCAAGGTGGCGCTGAAGGTGGTGACGCCCATCATCATCTCCGTGTTCGTGCTGGCCCTCTACCTGCACGCCCAGCAGGTGGAGTCCACCGCCCGCCTCGACTTCCTCTGGAAACTCCAGGTGGGTGTCCCACGGCTCACTAGCCCTGTCCTGGGTGAGGGGCAGCCCACTGCCTGCCCCAGGCTTCCCCCTGGAGAGGCGGGGATTGTGGTGGAGCCGGAGGCAGGGAGGGAGAACTGGAAGCCCACGGAGGACAGCTCACAGTCCATGCTGGGGGAGTGGACAGAGGTGTACGTGCGTGCAATGGGGAGGTTGGCGCAGGGGCGGAACAGGGGAGTGGACGGTGCAGAGGGTGTGCGGTCAGTGCAGGTTCGGGGGAGGTGGGCGGAGGCTGTGCGGTCAGTGCTGGACGGGAGGAGGTGGGCGGAGGGCGTGGGGTCAGTGCGGGGGGCGCTGGGGAGGCGGGCGGAGGACGTACGGTCAGTCGGGGGGTGGGGAGAGACGGGGGGAGGCGGGCGGAGGGCGTGCGGTCAGTGCGGGGCCGGGAGAGGCGGGTGGAGGGCGGGCGGTCAGTGCCGAGGCCGGGAAGTGCACGGAAGACCCTGAGCAGGGCCGGCTGGGCAGGGAAGGAGGGTCGGAGGGGTGTCAGAGACCGTCCCCAGGAGTCTCAGCTCTGGTCCTCACTGGGCACCCAGGTGGGGCTGGACTCCTGCTCAGCCCCGGCCTTGTGCCCTGCTCTGCTTGTATTCCCCAGGTGTCTAACCCCTGTGCTCTCTCTCCGGACCAAACATTTTTTTTCTTGGCATTGGGGGCCACCCCTGGTGGTGCTCAGGGCTTTCTCCTGGCTCTGCACTCAGGAATCACTCCTGATGAGCCCCGGGGACAACGTGGGGTGTCAGGGATTAACTCCAGGTCGGCTGCATGAAAGGCAAGCATCCTGGCACTAATACTCCAGCCCTCAAACGCTTATTTTTGGTTTTGTGGGGAGGAGGGAGGGGTCACACCTAGTTATATACTCAGGGGCTCTTCCTGGCTCTGTGCTCGGGTGCTGGGATTGGAGCCAGGGTCACCCCCACAGCTGCATGCAGAGCAAGTGACTCCCTGCCTGGACTGCCCTCCTGGTGGGGCCACACCCGGCGATGCCCAGGGGCCACTCCTGGCTGGCACTGCTTCCTCCGTCATATTCCCTGAGCTCGCGTAGAAAGCTTTGGAGGGACTGTGCCTGCCACAGAGGCAGGAGGAATGGGGCTGGGTGGTGAGAGGGATACTGGGAACGTTGGTGGTGGAGATGGGCACTGGTGGAGGGATGGGCACTAGAACAGTGTGTAAATGTAGCCACAAAAGTTTGTGAGTCTGTCACTGTACCTCACGGTGATCCATTAAAAAGATGAAAGTAAACAACTGAGACTAAAAAAAACAATGTGATGAGCACCTGCAATGACGATAGAGAAAGCACAAAAGCAAGGGTGGTGGAAGCGTCACTGGGAGAGGGGCAGGAAACCGAAGAGCAGCTTCGGGCCGGGCAGCGTGGGGTGGCCGGGCCCCGGGATGGACAGTCAGCCTTGTGCCCCTTCGGGCTCCCCCCGTGGGACGCTGGGCGCGGGTGGACACGGGGCTGCCGCTGCCACCCGCAGGCCACGGAGGAGAAGGAGGAGATGGAGGAGCTGCAGGCCTACAACCGGCGCCTGCTGCACAACATCCTGCCCAAGGACGTGGCCGCGCACTTCCTGGCGCGGGAGCGGCGCAACGACGAGCTCTACTACCAGTCGTGCGAGTGCGTGGCCGTCATGTTCGCCTCCATCGCCAACTTCTCCGAGTTCTACGTGGAGCTGGAGGCCAACAACGAGGGCGTGGAGTGCCTGCGGCTGCTCAACGAGATCATCGCCGACTTTGACGAGGTGGGGGGGGGGGGCTCTGAGGTTGGGGGAGGAGGCGCCAAGGCTGGGGCTGGGGAAGGAACCTGGGGGGGGGGTGTGGGCGGGGGAGCCCCCGAGGTGGGGGTGGGCGGGGGAGCCTCCGGGGTTGCGAGGGAACGTGGGGAGGGGCCTTCAAGGTCGGGGGCGTGCGGGGGCAGCCTCCGTGCTACGAGCGGGACCCCTCCCCGGCCCTCCCCGACGTGGGCGAGGCTGTCCCAGGCGCTGGCTCTGTTCCGGGGTCCTGGCAGGCTTTCCTTCCGTGGTTGGTTTGTTTGGAGGCCACACCGGGGGCTACTCCTGGCTCTGCGCTCAGGGAGCACTGCTGCTGGGCTCAGGGTCCGTGTGGGGTGGTGGGACCGAACCAGGTGGGCTGCATGCAAGGCGAGCGCCAGCCCCCGTTCCTTCGCTCCAGCCCCAACATGCTTCGTTTTCCCTTCCTTTCTTCTCCCCTTTCTTACTTTCTTTCCTTCTTTTCTCATTCCTTTCCTGTCTTCCTCCGTGGCGTACACTGCTGTTAAACAGAGACTCAGGCAGACCGTCCTTGTCTCATCCGTCCAGTGTCCCATCCCTCCGCCCAGATCCTCCCCTGCCCCTGGCCGCCTCCTGGGCAGTTTGAGCTACTGTCGTTTGGGGGTCCGGTGCTTGCCCCACTCTCGTGGTCTCTCCGCTCTGCCCCCTGAGCTTTCCAGCCCTTGGTCCTGTAGCTCAGCTTCCCCTGCTCTCCCCACTTCTCCCCTGGCACCTTTGCGTCTTGGGGGCCGCCTTTGGTGCCTTTCCTGGGTGTCACGCCTGCACCCTGCATGTGGCCCTTGTGCCTTGGCCTCCCCCTGCAACCTGGGAGACCGTGGTGCCCACGTCTGAGTGCCTGGAGCCACTCGCTGTGGTTTCTCCCCGCGGTGACCCTGAAGTTGACTCCAAGGTTGGGGCCTTGACTGCCCTGCAACTGTCCCCGCTCAGCTGCCCATCATGGGTGGACAGGGCCCCAGAGCGGCTGGCTCCCGAGATGCAGACAGGCCCCAGCTTCTCAGGCTAGATGAAGAGGCGCCAGAAGTCACCGCCTTGATGAGGGATGCACCTTCCCCCTTACTCCCGTCTCCGCCTCCTGGGTGCTCCCAGGGGCAGGCCGGGTCCTGGGGTCATATGAGTGTGGGGTTCCGGCCCGGCAGGAATGCTTGGCAGGAGCACAAGGAGGAGGGGGTGGCCTCACTGGGACTGGGCGGCGCCCAACAGCCCATGAGACTCTCGTGGCAATGAGGTGACCAGACTGACTGAAAGGGCAGTGGCCAGCTTCCAGAAGGTTCTAGAGAGGGGGGCAGTGTCTTGCTGTGCACTCAGGAGGAGGCTTCCCAGGGGTGATGGAGAAGGAAGGCGAGAAAGGGCGTGAGCCCCCAGCCCTCCTGGCGGGAGGGACCCCGAAGTGAAGCGGGTGGCCAGGGTGAGGGTGTGGCCTTGGGCTTCGCCCCGCGCGGGTGCTGCCGGCCTGCGCTGACCGGGCGAGGCTCCTCCTGCCCAGATCATCAGCGAGGACCGCTTCAAGCAGCTGGAGAAGATCAAGACCATCGGCAGCACCTACATGGCCGCCTCGGGCCTCAACGACTCCACCTACGACAAGGCGGGCAAGAGCCACATCAAGGCGCTGGCCGACTTCGCCATGAAGCTGATGGACCAGATGAAGTACATCAACGAGCACTCCTTCAACAACTTCCAGATGAAGATCGGTGAGCGCCAGCCCGCCCTGCCCGCCGCAGCCCTGCCGTGCCCCCGTCCAGCCCACCCCAGCCCATTCCATGCCCCACCCCCCGCCTGCACCCTCCCCTGTCCCCCGCACCCCAACTCATACCCCAGCCCATACTGTGCCCCACTCCACCCCATGCCCTCCCCCCAGCCAAATTCCAGCCCACACCTCACCCCAGCACCCCCCAGCCCACACCTCACCCCTGCCCTCCCCATCCCTGCCCCACCCCCACATCTCCCTGGTTTGAGCAGAGGCTGCGATCACAGGGGCTCCCTCTGGGGTCTTGGGTGTGGGTGGGTGCCTGGGGGCCTGGAGGTGTGCCTATGTGGGGGGTCTGCAAGTCCACGTTCCCTTGTGCCCTCCGGGAAGCTCGACAGGCTCTGTGGGGTGCTGTGGGTGGGAGTGTGGGGTCTCCTCGCGATCCCTCACAGCAGCTGGCAGTCCTGTTTGGCGGTGACTTCCTTAAAAGATGTCCACATTCAGTCAGTAAGAGAGAAAGCAGTACAGTGGTATTCTTCCCTATCTTCTGGTTTTGTTTTGGAGCCAGACCTGGCGGTGCACGGGGCCACTGCTGGCTGTTGCCTGGAGGTCACTCCTGGTGGTGCTGGGGGGCCCTGTGGGTGGGGGATGGAGGGGCTCCCGTGTGCAGAGCTGCTGAGAGCCTCCTTCTGGTCTTTGTATCACGGACCAGTCTTTGGTTAGGGCTCCACACAGCCGTGCTCAGGGCTTCCGCCTGGCTCTGTGCTCAGGGTTTGAGGGGCCATCTGGGGTTCCAGGGGTTGAAAGCAGGTGCCTTACCTGCGCGCCATCTCTCCTGCGCCTGCTTCCCACTTTCATACGATCCCTGCGGCTCTTGCTTGACAGTTTCCTGAGGGTGAAAGGGGCGTTTTCCATGTTGCTTGTTGCAACTTCTTTGGTGAAGTGTCTGTTTAGCTTTTCCTTCTTTGCCTCCTTCCTTCGTCCCTTCCTTCATTCCTTCCTTCGTTCGTTCGTTCCTTCCTTCTTTTTTGTGGAGTCATCTGAGGTTTTGTTGTTGCTGAGTTTTGGGGTATTTTCATATTCTGGTATTAGACCCTCCTGGACACACACACATTTTCTCCCACGCAGAGGGATCTCTTGATTTTCCTGGAAGTTTGCGACACTGCAAAAGTCTTGTTGACTCATGGAGTCCCAGTTACTTATTTTTGTGATTGAAGCTCAGTTCTCACAAGGTCCCTGCAGTATTGTGGGTGTCTTGCCTGTCTTTCCCCTCAACATGTTTAGGGGTTCTGGTCTTAGAGCCGTCATGCGTTTAGTCTGATCCCTCTTGGCTTATTTTTTGCATATGGTATGAGGTAGTTATTCAGTTACCTCCTTCTGTGCGTGTCACCGGTCCCTGGCACCTGTTGCTGAGAGACTTTCCCATCCCCAGGGAGGCTCTTGGCTGCATTGTTGAGGATGAAGCGGCTGCATGCACGCACGTTTCTTCTGGTTCTCCCTGGGGTCCCTTCACCTGCGAGTCTGATTTTGTTCCAGTATTGTATACGGCTTGAAATCAGGGAACATAAAGCACCCACCTTTTTTCTCAGGACGACGTTGACTATCCTGGTTCTCATGTGGATCCATCCAAATTTCATTGACCTTTTCTAGTTCCTTGAAGAAGCCCCCTGGAATTCTGACAGTGACTGCAATGAAACTACATCGCTCCTAGTAGAGCTTACAGTGTTAAATGCTTCTGATTGATTAGCTCAGAATCTCTTTCTAATTATCTGTCTTCTATTATTTCTTTCAACACCTCTTCTGGTTTTTCATTGTACTGGGCTGTCATCGCTTTCATTAAGTTTAAGTACTTAATTCGTTCAGAAGCGGTTGCAAATAGGATAATTTTCTTTCCTTCCTCGTCTGTTCCATCACTTGTGTATAGAAATGCAACCAGCTTTTGTATATTGATTTTATAGTCTGCATCTGTATTATAGTGGTCTATTGTTTCTAGTATCTTTTTAGTGGGATCTCTCAGGCGTCCTGTGCATCATCACATCATCTGCAAATACTGACAGTTTTATTTCTTTCTCAATTTAAATTCTTTCCTTTTCTTTTTCACATGTCGATTCTTCTTTTAAAGTTTTCAAAACATGGGACTAGAGAGATTGCACAGGAGGGTAGCACCTGCCTTGCGTGTGGCTAAAATGACTCCCTTGGTTCAAATGCCCTCACCACATATGGCCATTAGCACCTCTGACGTCCCTCCTGGGCACAGCCTGGAATAGCTCCTGGACATGGCCCAAATCCCAAAACATAAAAATTAATTTCTTCGTATAAGTCACTTAGTATGTTAGGAGAGCACACTTTTAAGAGTTATTATCTCATTGTTTGCAATGTTACAAAAAAGGAGGAAGAAAAGGGGGCAGGGTGATAGGACAGTGGACAGGGTGCTTGCCTTGTAGTCAGCTGACCCAGGTTCGATTCCCAGCACCCCATATGCTGCCCCTGAGCACTGCCAGGAGTGACCCTGAGCAAAAAGCCCCAAGCTTCACTTGCTGGGTGTGACCCAAAAAACCAAACCAACGGCAAGGGAGGTGGATGACCCAAGACACACATAAAAACTATTAAGTCCTTTAGGAGAAACGATGTCATGAAGAAGGGCCCGTGCTGGGGAGAGGGGGCCAAAGGGCAACCAGGCAGTGGCTTCGGCTACTTGATTTTGGAGGGGACTTTGGGAGCGTCCAGCCACGCTCTGACATGGAAACTCAGGGACTCCGACCTTGGGGGCGGGGCAGCGGGTGTCTTTCCACAGCAGGGGGCAGGGGGCTTCAGGGCTGCCCTGGAAGTTGCTGTTTCTCTCAGAGGACCCCAGAAAGCACTCCGACTGAATGCTTCTCCAAGTGTGGGACCCAGGGTGAGGCTGAGCTCCCTGGGGGAGGGGAGGCTGCCATTGCTGCAGACTGTTAATTCAGCCACATTCTGATGTGAGCCACCTGTGGCAACGCCTGCAGCAAGCAGGCAGCCCAGAACCCACAGAAGATGGCCCGCACCCTGGAGACCCCACTGTCTGCATGCAGGCTCCTGGCCCTCCATGACTGCTCTGGCAGGAGATGGGGAGTGGCCGGGCTGCGGCAGCAGGGTTGGCCAACACCCAGCCTCAGAGATGGGCGAGCAGGAGCCCCCAGACTGGCATCTTCATGGGGGGCACAGAGGGACCCCGAGGCAGGTGCCCCAGGCCACCAGACATAGCCAAGAGTGGCCACGAGCTAGGGCGAGGTCCCTCTGGGCCCCAGAGCTCCCTGGGGCAGCAGAGGCTGAGGGCAGCACCACGTGGGGGGTGGGGAGGGCAGGGACAGGCCTGCCAGGCTGGCCGGAAGCCTGAGGCATGGGGGTGGTGGGTCCCAGCCAGAGTGTGGCTCATGGCCGAGCTCTGGCTTGCACTTGAGATGCAACTGGTTGCCCTGAGAAGGTTCAGTAGAGCTCGGGCTCGTAGTGGGACGAGACTGTAGGGGTCAGAGCCAGTGAGGGGGCTGAGGGGACAGCTAAGGCCTGGGCATGAGGCAAGGGTGCAGAGCCTGGAGGGAAACCCGGTGTTCAGCTTCGGCCTCCACCATCCCAAGCAGGCAGCTGAATGCTGACCTCTGCAGGGCTGGGTCGGAGAAGCGACCCCAGGGTCCCATGGCCCCGTGTCTCAGGACGGGAGGCTCTTGGAGATGGTGGGGGGACTTGTGGTAGCATGGGTGGCTGAGGGGCTCTCTGGGGAGGGCGAGCTCAACTCCTTTCATTGCTTTTCTGTGTTTGGCTTTTTGGGCTACACCCAGCGATGCTCAGGAGTACTCCTGACTCTGCTCTCAGGAATTAACTCCTGTCGATGCCTGGGGCACCATAAGGGATACCGGGGCTTGAGCCAGGGTCAGCCATGTGCAAGGCAAACACCCTCCCTGCTATACTGTCACTCCGACCCCTTCTTTCCTTTACTTGCCTAATTGCTATGGATTGAACTTCCCATGTTGGATTGGCTCTGGATAGTGGTGAGCGGGGCAGGCTTGTCCTGTGCCTGATCACAGAAGGCAGGTCTCTGCTTCCCGCTGCTATGGGTAATGGCAGCTGGGCTTGTCACAAATACGCCTTTGCTGTATTGCAGAATACTTCTCTCGGGGCAGGAGCAATAGTGCATTGGGTAGGACATTTGACTTGCACGCGGCCAACCGAGGTTTGCTCCCCTAACTCGTGGCCACTCTGGGTATCCCATATAGTCTCCGGAGCACTGCCAGGAGTAATTCCTGAGTGCAAATCCAGGAGTAACCCCTGAGCATCGCTGTGTGTGACCAAAAAGGGAAAAAGTTTAAAAATTAAAAGAATACTCCTCTCTCTGGACTTCAAGGTGGGGATGCTTTGGCCGCACCTGGCAGTGCTCAGGGGAACATCTGTGGTGCCAGGACTGAATTAGGATCGCTACATGCAAGGCAAATGCCTTGGCCCAGAACAGCACATGGATAGAGGCTGCGGTGGCTGGCCAGGACCACAGAAGGGGCCTGAGGGAAAGGTTGGAAAGGCTGTTCAGTGGCGGGGAGCCTCTGAGGCTGCAGTCTGGCCTCTCACGACACAGTGTGCATGAGACGGTTCATGAGACGGGAAGGAAACGTCTAGAGAAGGCGGCAGGGAAGGACTCTGGTGGAGACGGGGAGGGAGTCTGGGCAAGAAAGGGCACTGCGGAGCACAGGCCAGCTGTGGGCGTACTACGGGAGGGTGGGCAAGGCAGGGCCCAACACGGTGAGAGGGAGATGGGTCAGGGTGGACGGCAGCAAAGAGGGTGGCAGTGGGGTGGACAGCAATGGGGTGGATGGCAGCAGGTGGATGGCAGTGGGGTGGACACGACAGTTTCAGTGTCGATGTGGACAGCAGCAGAATGGACAGCAGCGGGGTGGACAGCAGTGGGGTGGACGGCAGTGAGGTGGACAGCAGTGAGTGGACAGCATCTGGGTCAACGCAGTGTGGACAGCAGTGGGGTGGACGGCAGTGTGGGTGGCAGTGGGTGGCTACCCGAAGCTCATCCTGGCATTTCTACCTGAGCGCTAAAGCCTGCGACAGGGTTCCAGGAGAGAAAAGGGGCCCAGGGCAGATGGCGGATTCCTAGAGCCTCCCCCCGCCCACCCACCTGGGAGCTGGATTCCAAGACCCTGAGAAAAACAACAGGCATGACACATCGTGCCCCAAGCCCTCCTGACAGTGTCCCTGATGCCCCCAGTACCTCCGGGCTGGCCCAGGGACGCCCGGACACAGACCTTTGCACTGAGCCACCAGCCCAGCTGTCCAGACGTCACTCTTGGGGGCCTCAGACGTGCTGAGGGCCGCTGGGGAGTCCTGCAGAGTCTGAGCTATGGCCCGAATGTAAACAGCAGTGAGAGGCCCCTCGAGGGCCCGGGGGATGCAGAGCCATTGTCCATGCCAGGCTGCGAGCGTGCAGGGCTGAGAGCTGCCGGGGGGGCTGAGGGCGGGGTGGAGGTCCCCACGAGGAGGGAGGCAGAGTGAGGGCGTGGGCAGGTGCGGGCTCGGGTGAGCGTGCTGCTTTGTCCCTGCAGGGCTCAATATCGGCCCGGTGGTGGCCGGGGTGATCGGGGCACGGAAGCCTCAGTACGACATCTGGGGCAACACGGTGAATGTGGCCAGCCGCATGGACAGCACCGGCGTGCCCGACCGAATCCAGGTGAGTGCTGGGCAGCCCCTCACCCACCCACGCTGAGGGCCCCGGGGCAGCCCCCCTCCCCCCCCCCAGGTCCCCTGTGCAATCCCGTAGACTCTTGCTTTTCTAGCCTGGGCTGGAAGAGCTGTTTCAGAACCGCGGGCGGCGGACAGCGCCGAGAGACCCGCCCACGCCCCCTGCTGCTCCAGGGCAGACCAGCAGCCTCCTCCCCGCCGGCCCCTGCCAGGCCGGACAGGCCTTGGTCTCCACGTGCTGCCGGCAGTCCCCACAGCCCAGCGGCTTGGCGGCGCTCCCGGGCACTTTGCCCTCTGCAGACCGGTGGCCGAGACCTCCCTCAGGCCCGGTCAGAAGAGAGGCCGAGTGCCGCGCCGGCACACACCCAGGCGGGAGCAGACACTGGTCCTGTCCCCGGGGGCAGCCCCCACGCCGCACTGCACACGGCCTTCCCCAGGCCCCCCGCCCGCCTGTTGGGACTGTGTGTCCGAGGCCCAGGCCGGTGGGTCTGCCCGCCTCCGTGCTGTGCGGGGGGAGAGACGGCAGGGTGGGCGGGGCAGGCCAGCGTCTGCAGAGCACCTGCCCCCGCTCGCCATGCGTGAGTGCGCTGACTCTCGAGGTCACCCCCGCGGCCCCACAGCCGGTAGTGCGCGCGCAGGGAGCCGGGGCTGAGTTTGCCGGTGAGGTGCGGTCCACACCGCGTGCTGGCTTGCGCCTGTCGTGGAAAAGGTGCTGGGCGCGGCAGCCGGCGGCTGGCAGGCAGGGTCACCCTGATGGATCCCAAGGCAGCCTTCAGTAGCTGTGTGTAACCTCACACAGATGACTGGTTGTTGTTGTTGTCCTTACGGGGCTGCACTTGACGCTCAGGGCTGACTCCTGGCAGGGCTCAGGGGACTGTCAAGGGACTGAGCCCAGGCCGACTGCACGGAGGCGAGTGCTGAAACCCCTGCCCTGTCTCTGAGCCCGAGCCACGTCTCTGCCCCATGCCATCAGCAGGGGCTGTCCCTGCTGTCCACTGTGGAGAAGAGTCTCCAGAAATCGCCCCTCCTGGGTCCCGAGTGAGACGCTGGTGGCCTGCTGGGGTGGGCACTGGCGGGCCCCAGGAGGCCCCTCGAGGGCTGGCCCCACCCCCACCATGGCCAGAGGCTCCGGCTCATGCCCTCCGTGGCCTGTCCTCTCTCCTCCGCCTCCTCAGGTCACCACAGACATGTACCAGGTGCTGGCCGCCAACACCTACCAGCTGGAGTGTCGGGGTGTGGTGAAGGTCAAAGGCAAGGGCGAGATGATGACCTACTTCCTCAACGGAGGGCCCCCGCTCAGCTAGCCGCCGGCCCCTGCTGCAGGCCGCCAGGCTTCCTCGGAAATGGAAACGGCTTCTCTGTGCGCCTCGGGGGACGGGCAGGTGGGGTGGCCCTGATGGGGTCTCCACTCAGACTCCAGTAGCAGATCCTGCCTTGGTGGGAGTAAGGGGGTGTGGACGGCAGCTTCTGGCCAGGTCCAGGGGTGCCAGCGTCCTGCGAGCCCCAAGCTGACCAAAGATGTTTCCTCTGTCAAAGGCGCTGCCTGACTCGATCTGGTCTTGAGTACTGGGTGGGTGCTGAGGCGTGTGGGGAGGACCTGGTGGCAGGGAGGCCAGGGCAACTCTGATGGGGACTCCAAGCGCCCCCCCAGGCACCTGCTTTTCTAAGTGAGCCCTGACCTGCAGGGGCTCAGGCGAAACCCCCAACACCCACATGCACACACAGTCAGGGCCTCGTGGCGAGGGGAGGCTTGGCCCAAAGCAAGCGTGTGGTTCTGAGAGAAAGGAAATATTTATTAAATAAAGCAAACCACGTTTCCTGTGCCCTTCTTTAGACTATGCTAGTTTGTATGCGTGTAGGAGACCCACAAGCAAACCGGATGTCACGGGGGGAGTGGGGAGGGGGTGCCCACTTGTTCTTTTTGTATTTTTTATTTTGTATTATTGAAAACCTTGGAAAACTAACAAATATACCAAATTCTATATTTTGTAAATTCTCTGTATCGGAACGCAGCTGTGCTCCGCGGGTACCTGCCCCCCGGCCCGAGTGTGTGTGTGTGTGTGTGTGTGTGTGCGCGCGCGCGCGCGTGTGCGCTGCAGAACTGGGCCCCACCCAAGTCCAGCCTGAGCAGTGAGCATAGCCTTTTGCGGCCCTGTGTGTTCGGACTCGGGAGGAAGATGTGTGGGTGCTTTATGCCCCATCTTTGTACCCCTCACCCCCACTTAGGGATAAGCAGGGGGGACGCTGAAGCTCGGCCGCTCCCGTCTCGGCCCACAGTGCTCCGGCCATGGCCCCCTTGCTCCCCGAGATGTCAGCCGTTGTCTGCAGGGCAGCAACCTGGGGAGCCCCAGGGCTGGGGACATGAGGAGGCTGCTGGGCTCTTGGGGGCTGAGGTACTGGCGGTCGTCCTGGAGGGCACTGTCCTCAGCTCTGGGGAGGGAAGCGGCGAACCCGGCCGGGGAGTCCCTGGGGCAAGGCTGGTAGGAAGTTTGGTCCAGTGGCTTTCCCAGGCAGGAGTGGAAGGTGCCCAGGAAAACCCACCGATTCCTTCCACTCCACGTGAGGCGTCGGATGGAGCGCAGCCCTGAATTCCTCGACGGCCCGTGGGCCTGAGCCTAGACCTTTTCATTGCTTCTCAGGGCAGAATCCCTTGCACCTCCGACAGGAGCCTGGGGAAGTGCCCACCCGCGCCGCCTCCCAGCGGGCACTAGGCCCCCGGCCCTGAGAGGCACAGCACCCCCAGCTCACCCAGCATAAGCCCTCTCGCCACGTGTCCTTCGCAAGACCCCCCCGACCCCTCAAATGTCGCCGGCCAGTGGGCCTGGGTTTCCCTCTGCTTCCGGCCTGAGTCCCTGCGCGCGTGTGTGTATGCGTGTGCGTGCACGTGTGTGCCCCGTCTGTGCAGCCTCCCGTGTGGGGCCTGACCCAGTGACCGGTGACCGCGTGCCGTGCTCGACTCCAGTCCCTCCAAGGGGTGTGCACTTTTTACTCCTGCTCTTGCAAAATGGATACGATTATGATTTCCCATGGAAATTGAAAAGCCTATTTAAATAATTTAACTATTAAACACTTTCACTGGTAAATGTGTCCTGGACTGATTTGGGACGGGTCAGGCGGGGGTGGGCATGGGAGGGACAGTCTCCTGAGAGGCCAGAGCGGCTGCGAGGGTGTGGGTGCCCGTGGGGGGAGGGGCGCTCAGGTGGGGTGGGAGGATGAGGGGGCTGTGGGGGCTCAGTCCTGTGTGGATCTGGAGGATGGAGGTACTGCGAGTGGCTCATGGGTGGGGTGTGAGGGGGCTGGAGACTGAGGAACTTGCGAGAACCGGGAGAGGGCCTGGGAAGGAAGGAGCCAGGGCTTAAGGCGTGGGCAGAGCAGAGCCCTGGGGGAGGGCAGCCAGGCCCAGAGTGGCGGCACAGGGGCTCAGACACTCACCTTACAGTGCACCCGCACCCCATATGGTGCCCCAGGCATGCCTAGCACGTCCGAGCACTGTACATGCAGCCCAAGGCCAGCGGGCAGCGCCTGTGACCCCCACAGGCCACCGCCAGGCCTCGGGGAGGCGCTTGGACCCTCCGGGACACCCCACCTCACTGCGGAGGCGCAGACACAGAGGCAGGTCTGCACGGAGGCAACGGAGCAGGCCTTGCTCCTCAGGGTGAGGTGAACTCAGGAGCCCTGACTCCTCGCCCCACGCCAGCAGAGGGGGCGCGGCAGGAAGGCAGGGAGCCAGCTGCACCCCCAATGCCAGCCCCCCTGCGGGTACTGAGCTGGCGCCTCTCACGCCACCAGGCTCCTGCTCGAGCACTGAGCTACACCCCTGGCCCCAGCTGGCCTTGCTGAGCTGCAGGGCATAAAGCCAACTCCGGTATATCGAGAGAAATGAAAGAGCTGGTGCGAAGGCAGGTCAGGGGTCCTGGCCCAGGGGGCCTCCTGCTCTGCAGAGTACCGTGCTGGCCTCCGGGGTGCCCAGGGTGCCGAAGCACCAGACCCCCCCATCCCACACCCTCAACACCTCCCTCCCCAGTAGATCCTCCTGGAGCACGTCCACATCCCGAACGCCAGTGAGCCCAAGTTGCTGTTGAGCCAGGGGTGTTCTGAAGGTCACTAGGACGTCCACTGACAACTGAGTGAAAGACAGGCGTCAGCCAAGGGGTGATGGTCGGACTGAGCGCAGGGCTCCGTGACGTCTGCGGGGAGCCCGGGCACTCCAGCACCAAGGCGTCAGGGCACTCTAAGACTGGCCCCAAAGCAAAAGCAAATGGCCCCTGATTGGCCCAGGGGTGCTTCAGTTACTTCTTTTAATTGGGGGCTACCCCAGCAGTCTCAGGGCTTACTCCAGGATGGAACCCAGGCCGTCTGCGTGCAGGGCGAGTGCTCCACCGGCTCACTCTCCAGAGCCCAGGGAGGGCAGCCTCAACTTCTCCCTTTCCGCTCTGGAAGTGCAGCATGGCCAGAAGCACTTTGGGCTCCCTGAGCAGTTGCTTTTGAATTTGATTATGTGCTGTGGCTTTTACAGAAAACACGGGAGTGTCCCCGGGGTGCTGCGATCCGGCCGTGAGGGGATGCTCGTCAGGAAAGGACACTGGACACCAGGCTCAGAGTCCTGCCGGGCAGCCTCACTGGCCCCAGCCCAAGAGCCAATGAGGCAGAGATATACGTACCTGGAACCCGGAGCTGTGTGAATCAGTGAGCGCCGGGCTCTGGGCCTGGCTCAGCACAGCATCGGGAGGAGGCACGGGAGGCGTTACCTGAGAGGGCACAGCCTAGATGCGCCTGGGCCCGCCCACTGGGAAGGACTCATGGTCACAGGAAGCCTGCCCCTAACTCCCACATTTTCAGAGCTGGGTGGGATGGGAGAAGGGGTGGGCGCATGCCCTGTGGCTGCCCCTGGCCACACGCTCATCTAGCCAGTATGGAAAATTCCAGCAGGGAGGGAGGTCTTGCCACTTCTCAAGGTTAACAACAGACGCAGTGAGGTCCGGTTACTACTGAACTCTCTGGATTTCCTTTTGGGGCACAGCTGGCAATGCTCAGGGCTCACCCCTGGCCGTGCTCAGGGACCGCATGCTTCGCTGGGGACGTGCAAGGTGAGGGCCTTACCCCGCCCCCCCCAGCCCCCATGGGGTTTTTCTTATCCAGATTTTTTTTAGAAAGTCCTCTGTTGGTGTTTTCCCTCTGCCTAGGGCACACGGACTGTCCTCTCCGGGCCATCCACAGAGCAGGGTGACCTGGACAGCTCCATCTAGTCTCAGAGAGCAAGACAGTCAAGAGGATGGGAGGACGACGAAAGGGAAGTGGCAGCACTCACCTGAGCTCAGGTTAAGGCGGCTCCTGTCCCCACGGCGGCCAGCCTCCCGCTCCCCCCGCCCCGCACCCACCAGGGAAGATACGCTTCCAGCCCAGGCCCTGGCACGCTGCTGGCCTAGTACGGCTCCTTACGGGGGCCTGTTAGGGATGGCAGCCTCCCCCCACGCAGCCATTTCTAATTTGGACCTGCCTGGCTCCTGTTTCGTCAGCATCTCTCTGGTTGTTTTCACTTGGACTATTTTCCAAGTTCGCAAAATTTGCTTCCTGCGTTGGCTCAGTCGGCGAGACTGGCGCTTCCCTGGCTCGTGTGGTGGGTGGGCGCGTTTTGCTTCCGACTAACCACACTACAGCCGTGCCGCACTGCTGGTGGTTTCTTTAGCTGGGGGAGGTGGGTCTTCCTGGCTCTGTGCTAGCGGACCGCAGTCAGGCTGGGAACTGAAGCGGGCTGGGCTGCACCAAGGCCAGTGACTCACCCTCCCCGCCGCACTGCTGTCCAGCCCTGCAGCTGTGCATGCAAAAGCGCTTCATGCGCCCGCGCCCACTCGGCACCTGCACAGCCGCGAACACAGTGGAGGGCTGCCCTGCTCCCTGGGGCTCCATTCTGTGCACACGGCCAACTCCTGGTGGCAGAGAGGGGTCACCACCGCCAAAGTAGCTGATAGTAGGCCGGAGATAGGGCCGCAGGTAAGGAGCTCGCCTTGCACAACGCTGAGCCAGGTTCCATTCCCAGTACTCCACACGGTCCCTGGCACCACCAGCAGTGAGTCCTGAGTGCAGAGCCAGTGGTGACCCTGGAACATATCCAGGTGTGGCCCAAAAAGCAAACAGAGAAAGGCAGCCGACAGATCCGATGGGCATGTTCACAGGAGGACGAGGCCACATTAATAAGGCCTGGGTTCCCAGGGCCCTTCCCAGCCAGCTCCCGTGCAGGCTGTGGGGACAGGCTACCCCTCTGCAGCTGGGCGCCACCCAACCACCTGATCCTGTTTACTGAGTCCAAACGCTCGTTACCCTCACACGCCACAGTACACGAGACACCACATGGACAGCAGGCAATCTGGTGAGCGCGAGTGCCCCTGAATGCCTGCCCAGAAACCCGCATGCCCAGCTGACCGGGGCAGCGCACCTGCCTGCCAGGTATTTCAGCAGATACTCACTTAGCCACAATCTCTCAAAAGCTTTGAGCAGTGACTGATTTTTGATGGAAAACTGATGGAGGGAGGATACTAACCCTAAGGAGAAGGCGGGAGAGGAGAGGCCAGAGAGGAAAGGGAGCTCATGCCCCGAAGGTGGACAGACCCCCAGGGGGCTGCTGCAAAGGTGGGGTCACAGCCCCAAGTGAGCACTGTGCCATGACTCACTGTATGGGGGGGGGGGTAAAACATTCAGTACCGTTAACAGCAACACCAGTGAGACAGACCACTTGCCGTCCCAGCACTCATTCCTGCAGGCTCAAAGTGCTTTATAATCATCAGCTCACTCAGTACAATCATGCTCTTGGCCCAAGGCACTGGAATATTCCCACTCTCCAAAGGCGGACACTGAGGCAGGGAGGTCACGTGACTTGTGAAGTCACAATGCCAGTGGAGGTGACTCCAAACTCAAAACCTCTGCTCCACAGTGCAACTCAGTCACCTTCTATTTCTAATGTTTTCAGACTAGGGGCCCCTGGAAACAGGGTTTCTGGGCAATTCCTATGTTAAAGCACCCTTCTGCCCGTCACCATGGTGCTCAGGGGCTCCAGGGACTGCTGCTTAGAGCAGGAGGGTGCTGCGGGGTGGCGCCACCTGCTGCTCTCAGGGGGAACGGCTGCTCGCCCTGCCCAGCACGCTGCCTCCACCCATTTCACACAGCGTTTGCCAGGCTGAGCTCCAGTTCCGAGTCCTGGCGCCACTCAAGGTTAGAAAGACCCCGACAAGCCACTCAGTTCTTTAGCCTCGGGTGCTGGCGCTGGGAGCAGACGGCTTCGGGACGCTCCGTGAGCCCATGGCCCGCACACACGGCCCGTCTGCCGCTCCCACACAGCAGCAAGGCCAGGGCTCGTGCGCGACACCCCCCAGCCGCTTCCTTCTGAGAGGCTCGGTGACATAGAAAAAACAAGCACTAAATTCGGATCATTTACGCCTCAGTCCCAGACTTGAACCCGCCAGGGAGGGATGGGATCGCGACTCCACAGCCCACCCCAGGCTGCCGGGAAGGCGCACCGTCGGTCTGGACGCTGCAGAGCTCCAGTGTGAGCAGAGCACAGGTGACGTCCCAGGCAGGGGGGAAGCATGGGCACCCGGGAGGCATCGGCAGGGGCGGGGCGGGAGGGGCTGGGGAGCAGGGAGGCTGTCAGATGGGGGGCTGGTGTGCTTTCTGCGGGGGGACGCCTGCTCCGCTGTGCCATGGGATGCAGGAGAAAAGGGCAACTGTGAACCGTGGGGGAGGTGGTGCTGAAAATACGGTCTGTTGCCAAGGAGACGTCAGGAACGACTGGTGAGGCGACAGGAGTGACTTCAGCGGCCCTGACAGAGTCACAGCCTCCAATCCTGGCACTGCCGGGTCCACACCCGGGCCGGCACTGCTCCCCGCAAGGTGAAGGCCCCAGGCGCCAAACCACAAGGAGCACCAGGGCCGCACGGAGCCCGCCTCTCTCTGAAAATGCTCGAGTTCAACATTCTCCAGTGCGGCATGCAGCAGCAGCCCACAGGGGGAGCAGGCGCAGATACTTCCCTCTGCTCGGCAAGACCCGCTGAGTGCACTTCCCACCGGGTAGCTCACGACAGGACTCTTAGCTGATGCAGCCTTACCCTCAAGCCAATGATATCACCATAGTTTCAACCAAACATTGTTTTTCGGTGAAAAGACTCCATTTTCTGAGATTAAGAAGGAGAAAGTTAAGGGCTGGAGAGATAGCACAGCGGGTAGGGTGTTTGCCTTGCACGCGGCCAACCCGGGTTCGATTCCCAGCATTCCATATGGTCCCCCGAGCACCACCAGGAGTAACTCCTGAGTGCAGAGCCAGGAGTAACCCCTGTGCATCGACGGGTGTGACCCAAAAAGCAAAAAAAAAAATAAAAGGGGGGGGGAAATAGAGGCCAGAGTGGTAGCACTGTGGGCAGGGCATTTGTCATGCATGTGGCCACCCCAGGGTCAATCCCCGACACCACACAGCACGTGTCTGGGCCCCGCTGGGTGTGGCCAACAAAACAAAGAAGTGGAAAAATATAAAACAATATAAAACACGACCTGAAAATAGGTAAAAGAGGCAATCATGATCGAAGTGCTCCCATGTGGCCAACCTGTGCTTTGAGGTCACTCTTTGGCACCGTATGTGGTCCCTGAGCACAGAGCCAGGAGGCAGCCCTGAGCATATCCAGGTGTGCCCAACCCCCCGAAGTGACCTATAATTTGTGGTGAAACCAAGTGTTTGACTCGGTCCGAATGGCGACTACCTTTGTTCTGCGAGTACTTTGGAGACCAGTTGTTTGTTCTTTACCTGCCTCGTCCATGATTCGACCTTTAAAGTGAATAATCTGTTGAAATAATAGAAAGGAAACCAAAGATGCACATGTATGACATGTTGTTTTAGCTCTTGGGATCCAACAGCTCAGAATGTACTTGGGGTCTTAGTAAACCTTTTGGAATAAAGGCAAAACGAAGGGCTGTGTGTAGGGGGGGGGGGCAGGGCAGGGGTTGGGATAGAGGGGGCGGGAGTATGAGGGGCGTGGGTAGGCCAACCCCAGAAGAAAGCCCTTCTGTGATGTGAAGTCCGGGCTCCCAGTAGTCTTGCCTGGTCCCAGAGGCCTGGAACATCAGGGCTACCAGGACCGAGTGGCGGCCACTCCCCTTCAGAACAATCCTGCTGAGAGCCCAGCACGAACGCGAGCCGTGCGCTCCAGCACTTTGAGCCGCCTCCCGCGCCCGCCCCGTGTCCTCGTTTCCCAGGCCACTTCCTTAGGACACTCCCGATTCCTTAACTTTTCTGAGGAAGAGCTCTGAGACCCCTGCGCCACCTTGTCATGACTACTTCCCCGACATTACCAGGGAGGAAGGCCTGGGGCAAGGGCAGCACACACGCAGAGTGGGCCTGGGTCATCCGAAAGAACAGACGGCTTCTCTGGACGGCGGGGAAATGGCTTCGTCCAAATTCAGTTTCTTTGGCAACAACACGAGAAGATGCTGGGCAGAAACGGGAACACTCAGGGATGCCACAACGAATAATGAAAGCAAGCATTTCTGTACAGTGAAACAGTATTTATACCTGGTTTCTTTTGTTACCATCAAAATGTAAACATTCCCTTATCCAAAGTAGTCTGTGAAAAACAAAACAAACAAACAAAAAAAAGCAAATTGTCTTTAAAGATAGCTGGTGAATTTTTAAGTGTCTTTGTGGAATGAATCCAAATTACAAAATACTATGATTCAAAAATGCAATGAAAAGAAGAACCAATCTGGTAAGAAAACTGTAGTGGATCAATACATAATACGTAACAGCAAAACTGCAGTTTTTCAGAATGCTCCAAATTCCTCTTTAAACTGAATACTCACAAGGAAATTTTTATGCTAGCTGTTCTTTTAGAAAAACTATTCCAAATGAAACATCTTCACTTTTCTGGGTCAGTAATGACAAAACATAAATTAAAAAAAATTTTTTTAACTGATTATCTGGGATTATGTGGTATATCCTGGAAAATCTTTCAGAATATTAATCTGATTTAAATAAATACCTGATATTAAAAGTTCACTGTCTTCCTTTCATTCCATTCTATTCAAAGGAAAATGCAGCACAACGATAGGAGTTGGATTTTAGAATTGTTGACATAAGTACACACCTGCCCCAGCAAACTAGGAAGCTCAATGAATCTGCTGCCTCTCCACTCCTTTTACTTAATATCACACAATCTCCTAACACAAGTTCTATGTCACGGGCCCACTGATCTTCTGGATAGCAACCTGTAATACTGTATGAAATCCTGGCCTGGAATTTTTCTTTTGAGAAGGAAAAGGAAATCCCCCATGAAGATGTCTTCCAATACTGGGAGAGCCACAGACTTTGCTAATGGAATCGAACCGTGCTCCCGGTAGGCTTACGACCGTACTGCCTAAACACTCTTCAGAACAGGATTCAAAAGCAAGGAAGTTCCCTGAAATACTAGCATCCCACTCCCCCTAAGGGCTGCTGGGTGAAAAGTGAACGCCCTGCTGGTCTGAGCACAGGCCATGTCCCAGAGGGCCTCCTCCTTGGAGTTGCCAGGCTGGTTCTCTCAGTGACAGGGATGAGGCTCTCGGTAGAGCACAGGTGCACGCGGGCAAGCCCACCACGTGCACATGCGCAGTGGTGAGCGACAGGGACAAAAGCGTCCCCTCTGCGATCCTCTCATCCTTTGGGGGTTTGGCAGACCGCTCTGGCGCTGGACAACAGCTCTTACTACAAGCAACAAAGGATTTCTTGGACCGAGCCTTGACAGGCACTGCTAACATTTACTAAATAATAAAATTTGATTTGATTGATTTTGTAGTCACCTTTCATTTATGCAAATTGGTGCTGGCCTTCCACTTCGATAATTTCCTTTTGACACAGCCTACTGACTGATCTTGATTTTGGGGGCCACACCTAGCGGTTTTCTCAGGGGTTTGGAGGTCACTCCTGGCAGTGCACAGGGGATCAATGCAAAGCCAGGGACTGGATATGAGGAAGTTTAATGTTTTCTAGATTTATAAATTAAGCAAATTTAGATTTTTACCATTAAGTTGATAACAGCATATGCAGCATTTAAGTACTTTGAGTTTGGGAAACAAAGCTAAAACCCAACAAATCTTATTTTTTAAAAGTGATTTCCAAAGAACTACAAACATGGCCCAGAAAGGAAACTTATGTCACTAAGTTTTCAACACTCGATGTTCCACAGATGAGCTTTCCACAGCCTTCTCCTACATCAGGTGATTCCCACTGCTGGATTTCAAGCAAAACTACAAAAGGAGAAAGAACGAATTCCATGCCCCTTTGAACTTTACAAACTCATGGCTCCCAAAATGTGCAAGTAATCTGAGAGCGAGCAGTCACGTGCTTCCGACCTCAACCGCCCGGTGGGTGGCAGCCTCCGGGGCCCAGCCCATGCGGGGGGCCCCTGCCTGGTCCTCAGAGGTGGGCTGCCGGTGTCTGCTGATGGTGTGCTTCACCGGGCTCCCAGGCTGCTGGCCAGTCCCCGGGAGCCTGTGACCGATCCCGCACAGAGGGCTTCTCTTCCTCCTCCAGCATCACCTCACGCCAACGGCTCTTCGTAGGGGAAGGCGCTCCCGAGCATGCCCTCTGACTTAAAACAAAAGGACAGTTGGAGAGAAAGAAAGCAGAGCTTCTCATTGGTGGTGGACAGTTTATTCATCACAGTGGCAGTTAAAAACATACTCCTTCCTTCTCTGCTGAGGCCAAGGCACTCGGTCCTGAGACTGGTGTCAGACATCATAATCAGGGGCCTTGCCCTGGGCTTGCCGGAGCCAGATCTGTAGCGTGACGAACGCCCCCACAGTCACATGGAAGAAGAGCTGCCAGAGGTTGCGCAGCTCATAGAGATACAAGTTGCACAGGCAGATGAGGCCGAGCGTCAGGAAGGACTTGGCATTCCGCCAGCTGGTGTAGTAGACAAGTAAATAACACTGCCCGATAAAAAGAGAAAAGGAAAGATCAGGGTTACAGGAAGAGATGCTTCAACTATAAAATCGTAGCACGCAACAGAGTGAAAAACGAGGTTGGAACACAGGGGTCTTTCATTTCTAGACAAGATGATGTAACACCTCACACATTCAGCTACGAAAGCTCCACAGCTGCAGGGGAAACAGGTTTTCCCTTCGGTGGTTTTCATTTTTCAGAGGAAAAAGAATCCCTTTGTCTCCTGTTTTTAAATGGAGATATAATTGGATGTCTCCCTTGCAAACAGGCTGGACCAACTCCTCAAGGTGACAGGCGACGAAGCAGCATTGGAGTCTGAGAGAACCCTCCTTACACGTGCATCCCAGAGAAGCACAGAATGTTGCTATCAACTGTTCAGCAGATGGATGGAGGCGTCATCTGAGTATTAGTGAAGCCAAGAAACACTGACTTCTTAACACTGGATGCAAGGAAACACGCTAGGTGCAGACTCTGAGGAAAGACTCGGGAGAGAATCACTCAATGACTCTTCTGAGTACTGTGCCAACGCTGCCCTTACTCTGGCAAGCAACCCTCACATGGAGCTCACATTCCAGGGCAGAGACCAGAGGACAGAGATCATCAAGCAGCACTGTCTTTTGTTTCAGTTTTGGGGGTCACACTCGGCTGTGCTTGGAGAAAATGTTCCAGGGATCCTATCTGGGCCTCCAGCACTAAGGCCTGCACGCAGCCCTCTCAGCTCGCTATCAGGTCCAAGCAGCTCTATGTCTTCTACTTCTTTTATTTATTTTTGGGGGAGGGGCTTGGGGGCACACCCTGCAGTGCTCAGGGCTTACTTCCGGCGCTGCACTCAGGGATCACTCCTGGTGGGCTTGGGGGACCGTATGTGGTGCTGGGAACCAAAATCCAGGCCAGCTTGCTTGCAAGGTAAATGCCCTCCCCGCTGGCCTACGCCTCTGGCCTGCAGGTGCGTTTGAAGCAGAGAGACCAGGGAGCTCAAGTGGAAAGGCATGTGAGGCTCCCAGTTCGAGGCTGCTACTGTCGGTCCCCAGAGTACTGCAAGGCTTGAACTTCGTGGTTCTGAAGGCCCCGACTCCCACCAGGCCCTCTCCGGACCAGGGCTGCCCAGCCAGAGGGAGGCAGTGCAGAGGGAAGGGCCAGCCTTGCTGCGGCCACACCCAGGTCATCTCTGGCACCACACATAATCCCCCAACCACTGCCGGAATGATCCATGAATGCAGAGACAGGAGGAAGCCTTGGGCACAGCCAGGTGTGGCCCCCCAACCAAAAATACCAAACAAGACACCAGAACAACTAGCTGCTCTTGTTACAGTGCTCTTCTTTTATTTTTGGTGCCACGCCCAGTTTACTCCTCGCTCTGTGTCCAGAGAACCACATGTGGCATCGAACATCATACTGGGGTTGACCTCGAGCCTGGCAAGCGTCATAATCCCTGTAGGGTTGCTCCACCCTCTTCTGATGTTTTAAATAAACATTTAATTTTGGGTCCGAGCAATAGTATAGTAGGTAGGGTGTTTATCTTGCATGTGGCCAACTGGGTTCGAGCCCCAGCATCCAATATGGTTCCCCAAGCACTGCCAAGAGTGATTACCCAAGTGCAGAACCAGGAGTGAGCCCTGATCACCCCGGGTATGGCTAAAAACTAATTTAAATTTAATTTGTAGTTTTCCAAGGGCTTTAAAAAAGTAACAGTTTTACCTCATAAATTAATCACTGGCTACAAGAGGAGAAAGAAATCTTCGCAAAAAAATCTAAAGGCACAACCTTACCCGAGTGATTAAATGTTCTGTATGCTTCTTGACAAATGTGATATCTACAACACACTGTACTACACAGAATGACCACCAAAATAAGTATCCTGCATGCAATCACGTGAAGCAGAAATATACAAATTGTGTGCCATATCTATGCTCTCTGCCTGAATGTTTTGAACAGATGTCAGGGACCAGGGAGCCGACTCCAAAGGCTGAAGGTCTGGGTGTGGTCTCCCGACAATGTGCGGGAGGAGCCCCTGAGCACTGCCGTGTGTGCTCCTCCATCCCCCTGCAGGGAGCCCAAGAATCAACAGCATGAAAGGCCAAATAAATCAAAATAGAACAACAAGATGGCCAGGAGATAGAAAGAACATGCAAAAACCTAACGCGTGCATATAATCTTGGATTAAGAGAAAGCAGCTGTGAAGAACATTTTGAAGATAACTAAAAAAAAGGTGAATATGAAGCCTCTATCAGATAATAGATCAGTGTTGAACTTACATGGAAACAAAATGAAGAAATGAAGAAGGGGCTAGAAAGAAGAGAAATACCCGATATATCCTAATAGAACAAACCCTAAATATAACCTTTTATATACCTTAATTTGCAATCTGATTGGTCATGTACAAATGATATCTGCATAAAAACATATGAAATTATTTTACGAATTCCTATACAGGCATGTGTAATCTAGTCATCCTAAGACTATTCCACACTCACACTTGCATACCCAACCTGCTCGGCTGTTGGAGTAGGATGACTTCCACGGGCATCTCTAATCAGAGAGCAGAAATAAGGAAGGGGGTGGGGCTGTGTGATGTACAGTAAGTCAAGGGCCTGTGTAATGGGCCTGGGGAAGAAGGAAGAGGAGGACGAGAGTGGGGCAGCCTGCAGGCAGAGCAGGGACGGCAAGGAGAGGGACGGCAATCAGGGCTGCTGGACAGCACGCGGAAGTTCCTGCTACTCCGATCTGCAGGGAGGCACCTCCACGAGCTGTTAAACACAGAGCTGCAGCAGAGAAGGCCTGTGACGGCCGGCCTGCCGGTCTCAGCCGCGCCCACACGAGCCCAGAGGCCACTGCTGGTCAGAACTGTCACGACGCAGAAGCTATGGAGAGAAGGGAGCCTGTATTCTTTGAGGATGCACACTTTTTCTTTTTCTTTTTTTTAATGAAATTGCATATTCCGGTAAATTTAAAAGTAGCCCTTTAGAGGCTGGAGAGGCAGTTCAGGGCGAGAGCAGGCACAGGCTGCTTTGTTGCCTGTGTCCAACCCGGGCTCTACCCAGCATGGTCTACTCCGCATGGTCTCCCAGTGCGACCAGGAGACTCCTGAGCACAGAGCCAGGAATAAGACCTGAGTACCGCGAGGTATGGTCCACAAACCAAAAACAAAAGTGACTTTCCAGAAATTTCTGCTTCTGAGGAGATACGCTGATGCGCTCTTTTCGAGTCTTTCCATCCAACACGCCTGACACGGAAAGGAGGAAAGACAAGGAACTCTGAGACGTGAGGAATGACGACCCAGTGCAGCTCACCTGAACTTTACTTTTTGGCCTCATGTTCCACACTTGGAGCAGAAGAAGCTAAAAACTGGAAGTGTCTATTGACAAAGACCAAAACTAAAAACCCACAAAAACCTTAGTGAAAACAGGAAAGAAGCACCTATTTTATTTTTAAACAAAATAAATTTTATCTTAAATTTTTATTAATTTTATTTTAAATAAAATAAAAATTATTTTTAATAAAAATATAAAATAAAAAATAAAAATTTTTATTACTGAATCACCGTGCGGTACAGTTATAAACTTATGAACTCTTGTATTTTAGTCATACAATAATCTTTTGCCCATCCCTCCACTAGGGCCATGCTCCTCCACCAATGGTCGCAATATCCTCCCCATCACCCCCACCCCATCCCGCCTCTGTGGCAGGGCATTCCCTTTTGTTCTCTCTCCTTTAGGGTGTTGGGATTTGTAATAGAGATACCAAGTGGCCATCGTGTTTGGTCTATACTCTACTTCCGGCCTGCATCTTTCAACCCGGATGGGTCCTCCCAACATCCTTTACTTGGAGGAGCACCTATTTTAGACAAAAACTACTTCAGCATACGTACACATACACACACAAAACCCTGAACGATATATACAGCCTAACCACACATACCCCATGAAAGGTCACGTGTGTGGAAAGTCTAGAATGCTCCAAGGTGACGTTGCAACCCTCCAGTAGAGCTTCAGAGAAAGCAAAGTAGAAAGTCAGGCCTCCACTTCCCGTGGAAAGGTCTGAGTGTACTAGTGCTGCTCATCTCCAGGGAGAGCCTGCACAGTCCCCTCCACTCGGCACGAACAGGTGATAGATTTTTCATTAGAAACCTCAAAAACCAGGGAGGAGAAGGACATTTTCCAAGTGCTGAAGGACATTTTCCAAGTGCTGAAATGACACAGCATCAATCCAGAACCTTAAATCTAACAACATCTCCTTTAGGAACAAATGAGAAAAATAAGATACTCCTAGAAGAAAAAAAGACTAAAATAAATTTTGTTGCCTAAAATCATACCCTGAAAAATAGTTAAAGCGTATTCTTTTTACAGAAAGAAAAAAAAAGAAACATTGGAAAATGAGAAAAGAAAAAGTAGAGTAAAAAAAAAGGGAAATATAGTTAGGGTCTCTTAATTTTTCTAAGTCATTTTCAGTGGTTGAAACCAAAACTTTAAACTGTGAGATGTGGTTCTCAATACACAGAGTAGAAATATTGAAGAAAATTACAGTGAATAGGAGAGGACAGGAACAAATGAAAGTAAGGGTTTTATGCTTCACTTGAACAAGAAACATAGGAAGACACTAGGAAACTATTTTCAATATGTAAAACAGAAGTTACCTAGAGCATCTACTTGAAAATCTATGCAAAAATTATATAGCTTCAAACACTACAGATAATTCAAAACCATGTTTTTAACATATGGTTCAAAAAACAATTCCATTCACAATCATGCCTCAGAATTTCAAGTACCTCAGAATCAGCTTAACTAAGGTGGTAAAGGACCTGTACAAAGAAAGGCACAAAACACTACAAAACAGAACACAAGGAAATGGAAACGCATCCCTGCTCATGGACTGGGAGAATTAATACTGTCCAAATGGCAATACTCCCCAAAGCACTACACAGATTCAAAACAATCCCTGTAAGGATACCCATGACATTTTTTCAAAGAAATTGATCAAACACTCCTGA